CTCCGGATACATTTGATAACGGTATGAAAACGATGAAGCGTTCACATTGCTCCGCACTGGATAAAAAGGAAAACGCCACCGACTGGTTTACAGATCTTGCCACTGCTAATAAACTTTTCAAACAGCTCACTTGTCACTAATATTCCTCCAAGTAGTGTACTAACTTCGAGTGAATCAGCAATGTTAAGAAAAGTTGTTCAAATTGGCGCGGTCTAAGTATCTTGCTGTGTTGTTGTTGTTGTTAGCGTTTTCAAAAGAATCCGTTTTCGGTGTTCACACTGCGTTTTTGCGTTTTCAAAAGACTCCTTTTTCAAAAGTATCCGTTTTCAAAGTGCGTTTTCAAAAGTCTCCGTTTTCAAGGTGGAGCAGTGTGAGCGCAAGGCACAAACGGATACTTTTTTATCCGTTTTCATTTGAATCCGGAGCAATGTGAACGGGGCCAAAGTCTCCCCATTTCTATCAGTCTATCAGACTTTTAGGCTATGTTCACATTAGTCCGTATTCATTTTTATCCGTTTTCGTATCGATCCGTTTTACCTGTTCACACTGCTCCGGATACATTTGATAACGGTATGAAAACGATGAAGCGTTCACATTGCTCCGCACTGGATAAAAAGGAAAACGCCACCGACTGGTTTACAGACCTTGCCACTGCTAATAAACTTTTCAAACAGCTCACTTGTCACTAATATTCCTCCAAGTAGTATGCTAACTTTGAGTGAATCAGCCATGTTAAGAAAAGTTGTTCAAATTGGCGCGGTCTAAGTATCTTGCTGTGTTGTTGTTGTTGTTAGCGTTTTCAAAAGAATCCGTTTTCGGTGTTCACACTGCGTTTTTGCGTTTTCAAAAGCCTCCGTTTTCAAAAGTATCCGTTTTCAAAAGCCTTCGTTTTCAAAAGTCTCCGTTTTCAATGTGGAGCAGTGTGAACGGATACTTTTGAAAGCACACACGGCAAGGCACAAACGGATACTTTTTATCGGTTTTCATATGAATACGGAGCAGTGTGAACAGGGTCTCAGAAACAGGGCTATCAGACTTTCATTGCATGATTGCAACTATAATGCAAGGTAACCAAGGTAACCTAGGTAAACAAGCCTGCTAAAATATTAGTTACCTGCAAAATTTAGTAACTTTTTCCTGGCAAAAATTTAGAATAGGTCGCTTTCCCCATCAAAAGATTGAAGCATGCAATGCAGTTAAATTCAATTGTTTAAGTGAACAGCATGATTATCTTTGCATTAGTTTAGTTTTTTATGAATAGAAAAGAGTGTAAAAATCTGTAAAAGCTGCTAGTCGGATAAAGAAAAATCAGCAAAAAGTTCTCAGAATTAGAATGCAGCTTTTAAGAAATTAGAGATTTTTTAATCTTTAATGTTGTTTCATAGCAATTTACCTTGTGTATTCAATCGCATAGTTCATATATATAAAATATATAAAACAGATTATAGAATGTAGTCGTGAAATTTTAACAAGGAGGGCTATATGAAATTTTGTAATGTGATCATTGCAATTTGAACATGACAAGGGTTGATGTTTTTTCTGATCATTGGTTGAGCAGCCAGGTACATTGACTTTTTGTGCAGCAACTGAGATCATATTTTCAGCAACGATAAGGAATAACTTTCTTTTTAACAATAATGACCCATTGGTTGGATTTTGAATTGACACATTTTCTCTCGAGGAGATTTTATCAGCTAATGAACCGTGCTACTGGAAATGTCATGCAAAACTGTTATTCGGTTGACTTAGAAAGTATTCATAGTTTGCAGATATTGAAAATCTTTTTTGAAATAAAAGCAACATTAAGAAACCCGAGCCTGAAATTATCAAGAAAATAAGAGCATTAGGTATGGGCAAAAATTATATTGTCCTTATCAAGGGTTATTCTAACGCGGTTTTGTTGCCATTTTGTGGAACTGTCAATCTGATTTGTAGTGTTGTAAAAAATCAACCATCTTGAATAATTTTTTGGAGCATGTAAAAATCGCTTAGTGTAAAAAGATGGTCACATTTAAACAAAAAACCAAAACACAATTTTTTAAGAAGAATTATAGCAAATGGTCAGTCCCTTAATTCAAAAACACTTTAGCTTTTGATTTTGGCTGTTCATCTGCTTCTCTAGTTCACATAACTAGATAAGACTTTTTCTGTCTGTGACACCCCTTTTTATCAACACTGGCTTTCCACTTTCTCCCTCTGTTTTTGCCAATATAAAGGTACCTTTTTTGTGCCTAACTACGTCACATAGATGTTTTCAAAATATTGCATACACTGATTGATTAGCCTTTCAGAAACACATGATGGCAGCTCTGCAGCTATAATGCCTGCCAAAAGTCTTGGTACACTTACTTCAATTTTAACGGGAAAATTCAGCCATCCCCCCCCCCCCTTGGACAATGTTGATTTACTACAAAACAATACAGGGCAGTGGCGTCGCCAGCCCTAGAAAACCGGGGTCGACGTACAACTTGACGTACAAAAAGATAATGATATGCATGAAAGAAAAGTCACACAAAAACATTAAAAGAATGAATGAAACTAAAATTAGGTAAGGAACCTAAATACTCCGTGATATCATATCGCGTATCAGTATAACATCAATTCTTTTTCTCAACAACACAGACAAATTTCCAACTCATTGAAGATCACCCTTCAGCCCCCCCCTCCCCCTACCAAAGGTTTTTCAAAGGATTTCGAGAAATTAGAAAATCGACTTCTGGGAAACATGTCCGCCCCAGTTCACTCCGTGGCGACGCCACTGAAATAGGTGATAAGGGAGTTCGCTTTTTCCTGCGTCTTGCATGATATTTTTCTAAATTTTCAACATTGTTTGGGGGGTAATGGTGGTGATGAAGTAATAGGGAAAAAAGAGTATTAAGGAAAAGCGTTGAAAAATATAAAAACACAACGCACATTTTTGGGTGTTCCAAGTACTTTTAACAATGATTGTAGTAGCCTTGCACAAAATTCGTATATGCACATTTCTTCTTCTTTATGTGTCATGCGCTGAAGAGTTGACAATCATGCTCCTTCGAATTTCTCTATCTTGACATTCTTGAATGAGTTCATTTCCATTTATCCTGTTAGTCTATTCTTTGATGTTGCTCAAATACGTCCTTCTCTGTCGTGCCTTCTACTTTTCAGGTTAGCGATAGGTTCTCTATGCCTTTTCTTCACATAACATGTCCCAAAAATGTCATTTTCCTATTTTTGATGGTCTGTAACCATTTTCGCTTCATATTAGCAATTGTGAGTACACGCTCATTTCATATATCTTATCAGTCTATGAAATCTTCAGCATTTTTCTCAAAAACCATATTTCTGTTGCCTCCAAACGCTTTTGCATAACAGAGGAGATACTCCATGTTTCACATCCATATATGACCGATTTCTTCCGACATCTAATGTGAGACAAACTAATTGTTGACTATTGTAATTCTGTTGAATTGTAATCACCATCTGCAGTCGGAACCAGATGACTATATGTCCTTCCCCATTGCATGGTGCAAATGAAGTAAGTTGTTTTTCTCTTTAGGTTTTGATTGATGATAAATAAAACATCCATATATAAGGATGGACCAGATATAACAATTCAGGATTCTGTGTCTCGTTGACATGGTAATGTTCGAACCTGTTAAAATAGGTCTATTTTTGTTGAATGCTTCTTTACTTAATGCAATTCTTCGTTTTATTTCATAATTATATGCACATTTACTGATGTTAAATTAAATATTCTAATTAAGAATTCTTCATTACGACATCCGTAGAACTGACCACAGTCCTGATGCTCTTATGCCAGTTCTGTTAGTCCAGATCGGAGCATATTTTCTCGTGCTCTCTAGCTATTTCGAGCCAATTTTTACAGCTTTATAATGTTTGCATTTTTATTGGGTAACTTGTTGGGTCTCTTGTGCCAATGACAATGATGAAGTCAAACTACTCTCTGGAATCAGTGGGTCTAATTCTACCGCTTGGGTTCGTTTTTTCAACAGTAGAATTATAAACCTTTGCAAAAAGATAACCAATACAGTTGAACCTCTGATAACGGTCTCCTCTGTGCAACGGTCACTTTGAGATATGCAGTCAGTGAAGAAAGTCCCTGCAGATTTAAATATATAGATCCAGGCAATTAACCCCTTTAACTAAATGCAACAACAACAAACCAACTGTATATAAAAAACTGCAACTAAATGTATTCAGTAAGAAATCATTCGGTAATTTTCTATTTATATATGTCAAACTTTGTATATATTTCCATGCGTATAAAGCTTGCCATGCAATTAAACCTGCCAGTTGTTTCTCTCTCTCTTTCTGGTTGGTTTAGTCGTCAATTGCTGACCTAGGGTGAGTTAGCAGTTCTTCACAGCTTTCTTTGCGTTACATGATTCTTTACTATATCCAAGCACAAACGATTAGGGGGCTGAGCCCCCAACTTTTTTCGAAAATTTTAACAAGGGGAGATGCGCCTTCCAGCCTGAGCCCCCCCTCCAACATCACATCCTTGATTATAATATAGTTTAGATTTGCTCTAAATGCTATGAATGTATAATGACATTCTTTATGTTAGGGCCACGTGTCAAAATAGTGTCATAATCGGCCTCGGAATCACTGTCTTACTAATGTTTATGAAAAGCTGAGAACAATCAATTATTATCATATGTAACTTTATTGAACGAAAATCTAAGCAACAAATTTCTTAATTAAAAGGTATCTAGGCCAATAAGGCTTTTAAGCCAGTGGCGGACACTTGGGGGGGCGAGGGGGGGCGACCGCCCCCCCAATACTTTAGAGAACAATGGTCTTTCGTTCTAAAACAATGGGAAATGTGACGTCATCTTATTAAAACAATAGGCTTGCCCCCCAATATTTGACCAAGTGTCCGCCACTGCTTTTAACCTGATCAAAATTTGAACTGCAATAAATTTACATATTTAGATTAGCTCCCTCCCAAGGCGAGAGTGGTAAAGAGGGTCATCCTCCCTGTGACCATATTGCCTTGTGGGTAGAGGATAGGCCATATATCACAGATCAAACTCTCTTCTATCTATTTATGACCGTTAGGTGAAGCGGTGACGAGAGGGAGGAGACTGACCTGAAGTATCGCTTAGACCGAGGAAGAAACCGTCATGAAAACCTCAAGCAAAAACGGAGTTTCAAAGATATACATCGGTAACCTACCACCGCGCTGCACAGAGCGAGATATCGAGGACCTTTGTAAGCAGTTTGGATCTTTAGAAAGAGCCGACATTGTGAAAAATTTCGCCTTTGTGGTATGACTTTTTTGGGCCTAAATTCTACCTACCTCTTGCCTAAAGAAAACATTCAAAGAGATAATGAAGCCATTAACTAGTTTTGAAATATTTTTGTCTGGCATCGTGCTAAATTATATATAGCTCAACTCAAGATGTTTTCCTAGGCAGGCAAACAACTCATCTGCTTTGTTCAAATTCGAATTCATTTTTAGTTTAAATCCGAAGTTATTCCGATTGAATAACATTATTAGCCAGTAAATTACTGTTATTTCTATTACAAGAAAATTGCAATGTTGTTATATAAATCATTGGTGATATTAGTAAGGAGCACAATGTGTCCTGAGATAAACCTTTGTTGGAAATCCAAAAAACCAATGTTTGACACCTGACTTCGAAGCTCAATCCAGTTTAAATAACCGGGCTTTGCAAATACTCGTATTTTCTTTAAAGTAAGGCAATATCTACCACTGTACTCTCTTCTTTTGCTTTGTAACTCCTTTTCTTGTCCTTCTTGAACCATGGAATTTCAGCATGGGGATGACTTGACCAATCCTACTTGAATCCTCACTTACAGCTTCAGAAGAGATTTGTTACCTTCTTTAGGCATAAACTCTTCAGTGTAATGTGTGCCCTACTCTTTTTCTTTGTCTTCTTTTTCTTTGTCTTCTTTTTCTTTATGTCAGTTGGCGCTTGATGCACTGCTGTGGCCATTACAAGAGCATGTCACCTTTCTTGTTCAATAACCTGAAAAACAGCATTAGCCAAACCTCCCCCAACCAATTTACAATGTCACTTGCCTTTGATGTCAGTGGCCTTCCTTTTCTTGCCTTTCCCTCAACCTTTCCCTCGATAATGCACCTTTCCATACCTCCCTTTCATGTAATGTGACCAAGGAAACTCTTCTTCCTCAAAGTAACCTTCTCCTAGGTCAAATGAGTCAGCCTTTTCCTAGGTCCGTTTCTGTGAATGCCCAGGACTCTCACCCTTAGCCATAATTTCAGCTTGGTTGATCTCCTCAGTTTTTCCAGAAGTTAAAATTTTCTGCAACTAGACCTTGCAATTGCAAGCATTTTTCTCATTACCTTGCTGCTTCTACATGGCGTGTCAATAACTGAACCTCAGATAAACAAAACTATTAATCTCTTTGATTTTCTCTTCATGAACATAAACTCCTCTATCTGCTCAACTACATTTTTCAACCATGATCTTTGTTTTCTTGGTGTCCAAAAGCAAGACCTCTTTTCTTGCTGATCTTTTTTACTTGCCTCAAAAGATCTAGTAACTCCAAATCTAAATTGCACATTAATGTTGTGTCATCAGCCAAATGTAAGTTGGAGTACTATACACCACCAATTTTCACTCCACATTAAGGATTTTGTGAAACTTCTCTCATAATGTCCTTGGCATGAATATTGTGCCTAGGTTTGGTGAACCTACCTTTTTTAAACCAATCTGTGTCACTGCAGTATGTTTTTGCATCATTGAGGTTATATTGTACCTAAATACTTCAACATTGAAAGTTAACAAACAGATAACTTAGTCATTTAGATATATGATGAAGTCATTTTTCTAAATCTGTCAACAAAACCTCTTCTATTTGTTATCATTATTACGCCAGCTTGAAGTGTTCATAAGATTGGGAACTACCAAACAACAAGATGTGATCTTGGGCATCCACCCAACCGTCAGGTTATTTTCCTGTGAATTGCACTATTTAAAGCAGGCCTGACTGTTTGCGGCAAGCAATAGTGATTCACAGCTCATCTAAAGGAAATAAAAAACAGAATTCCGTTTAAGTTAAATGGTTCTTTTTTTTATTGAGTGTCAAAGTATGCACATTTTGCAGTTGCATTAAAAGATTTTATTTCCCCCTGTGATGTCACAGTGATGAGTAGAGGAGAAACCATTTAATCAGGCCTGTTAAATCACTTATGAGGTTGAATTGTGCAAATTACGATACTAGCATGAAACTTTGCAGTAATTGGCAGTTTGATATGCTGAAAAAGATAGGATATGGACCCCAACTGAAAATTGCTCCCTTCAGTTATTTTTAGCTGGGTACTTTGCCCCTAGACTCTAGTGGCGATATTACGATATCTCTGCTGTGAGTGAGTACAATAAAATGAAACTTTGTAACACGTGACAATCTGATATGCTAAAAACGATAGGAAAAAGACCCCAGCTGAAATTTTCCCCCTTTTTTATTTTAAGGCTGGGGCAGTTTTATACGCTAAAAACAATATGGTAAAGACCCAGACCAAAAATTTCCCCCTTGTTATATTTTTAAAGTGGGGTACTTTGCCATAGACCTTTACAGTTAGTAATATTAAGCTTTCATAAATTCAAGCACAATTTTAGTGATTCCATAAACCCAATGTGCCCTAACAACGATGGTATCGAGACTACGGAACACTTTTTGTTGCTCTGCTCTGCCTTGAAATTGAACATCGAAATCTTCTCCCTAGAGTCTTTGAATTGGTACAATCATTAGGTTATAACAATCTTTCAAATGAGGTTTTGATAGAACTTTTATTATATGGCGATAAAGACCTCCCAAATGACCTTAACAAAAATATAATCGATTTAACTCTCCAATACATTCACAGAACTGGTAGATTCGAATAAGGTCACTGTCTTCTTGCCACCAAGTCCCTTTTCACATAGTTTTGTATGCCTACTTATTTTTCTTTTTTTTCTTTTTTTGCCCATTTTGCATTTGACACTAGGTTTATTATAGTGTTAATGAATATCCATCTTGACTCCATACCAATTTTCTCAATAAATTGCATATTAGGTTTAAACCTTGAACATTATAACGTATTTTCCAATGGCGTCCAATGTGAAACGGGCTTAAGTATTTACTGTATACATATATGTTGTATTTTACTATATATGTAGTATTATAATCTAGTATATGTATATGTAGTATTATAGTTGTATTATTAGTTATATTTAGATACATGTCATTTCCCAGGGGGCAGTCATGTTATATTACTCCTCCTGGGTTCCGTCCTTGTGATGTAATTTAGTAGTTTGTACATACTGTTTTAGGTAGCTCGTTGTTGTAAGTTTTTATACCAAATATATAAAAAAGGGATGGTAATATCGTATCTCAGTTTCACTTTGGTACAAAAAGACAGTTTAATATGCCAAAAAGGATAGGATATGGAGGCAAAATAAAAAAATGAAAAATGTGCTTTTTAGGCAGGAACAAAGGATTTTCCTCACTTTTTTTGGGTGAGGCTCCTCATGTGTATACCATTGGCGATAAAAAGAAAACAGCTCGTCATGCCAAAATCATAAGTAACCAATGACAGGCCTTGGTTTATGAACACACAGGCATATGCTTGCAACTGATTTCTAGACGTATTCTAAATTATTTGTCCCCAGATTGTCCGTACCTACATTTACAACTCCATAGTCCACCTCTCTCTTATTCACTGTCTGCCACAGAACTTTGGTTGGTACCAGGACCCACGCAACAAATTTGGAGGTGGGGGCAAGGCTAGCAAAAGTAAGGGGCCAAGACTTCTTTCCCTTATAACTGCAGCTTCAAACTACTTGCTTTGCAAAAAAGTTCACCACAGTCCCCCTGGTGGCATGGGCCCTGTTATTGTTTCTTCGTTATCATTTGCAGACTCATCCGCGCAATATATTGTAGTGACCATTCTCAGACCATTTTACACTCACTTCCTACTAATTCATCAAGCTTACCATCGTCATGACATCCCCCTATGTCATTAACAGCATCACATACCATAGGACATTCCCTTTGCCACTGTTTACAGCTCCACTCCTCTAAACCATGCTGACTCAACGTCTTCCGTTCTATGCCTAGATCTTTCTTTGTCACATTTCATTAATTCGTTCGGCATCTTAACCCATCCTTAATCAGCATTTTGATTTTTATATACAAGCATATTAATTTTTAAGTAATTTTAGTTGAGTTCAGATCAGAATTCTACAGTCAACAGACTATCTCTCTCTCTATCTGGCTCCGTGTTCTTCACACATTAAATAGGATTCACTGGGTTTGGAAAAGGCCAGAAAAGACACGATGGATGTCAATGTCGATGTCGATGGATGGTTTATTTACTGTCAGTGCCTACATCAATTGTTCTGATGTACACTAAAATATTTGAAAATTAAAAGACAAAACCAACTTTTATACAAGTGCACAAAACAAATACCTATTCTGTACAACCGCAGTTTGACCTGACTCATCACTTTGTTGTCACAAACTGGCCTTGGTATTTTTCAAGTGCTACTCAATTTCAAACTCTGATTAAGCATACTTCTGCTGGTCAAATTATGACAACTTTGGTATCAAACGTATTGGAAAAGATGGGGAAATATAACTCTTGAAAAAAGCAGGACATAAAATTTCGCTGCATAGATACTTTGAATAAACAATCCCCTTTATCTATATTATAAGCAGTGTCTCCATCTACTTTCAGATATTCAATAGTAAAGATGCAGCCCATGAAGCAGTGGAGAGGCTTCACGATTCCACTTTTCAAGGTGTTAGAATACAAGTTGAAGTAAGTTCATCTTGAAAATTACAATGAAGGAATTGGTTTGGGTGGGCTTCAAGCTTTTCATGTTGTCTTTAATGTTTGTACTTTTACTACTGTAAATTTATATACATTGCAAAAGTAATTGTTATTCATATTAGATCAAACTAAAACTGTTAGTCATTGCTAAAATTGTACTTTCCTGGCAGGTTTTGCTTAGGTGAACCATGTTGTTATTACATTTTAAAGCAATGGCTACCTTATCAATTACCACCTTAAAAATTTGTCATTATTACAAGATAATGCATTTATGGCCTTCACCTGCAAATTGAAGTGTAAGGCTGATTATTCTTTTTTGTTAATCTTTCTAAAGCTTCTTGAGTATCATGACTTGATAGTGGGCTTTACTTTAAACATTATGAATGTAATTCACTCTTTCTGTGTACAATTTTGTTGTAAGTTAAAAGTAATATTGTTACCTGATGTTGAATGACATGCAGTCAGTGTTCTCTGAGTGGGGCTTGTTAGTCTAATAGCATGATATACAGGAAGTAATATGCATAAATCTTACATTGATCTAGCTGATAATGTTTTTAAACAGCATTATCCCAACCATCTCAGATACACCAAGGATAGAAATTCGAAATTAGAACAAAACTTGTCTAAATTTGTCAGGTAACTGAATATAAATAGGAGGACCTTTCTATCAAATGGTCAATAAGAAAGGGTCAAAGGCTTAATGTGAACCATGTCAACTTTCCTTGGAAGAAATTCTTGCCATCATTACTTCTAAGTGAGAATTCTACCCCAAGCATTCAAACTTATTTCAAAATGCTGACACCAAAATAAGTTTCTTTTGTTTAACGGCCAGTAATTAAATATGCAATTGCCCCCTTAATTAGCACCAATATGAGCATCAAAATTCCTAATGTCTCCAGGAACAAAACAACTAGAAACAGCAACAACTTTAGAGAGTGTTGTTTCTTTGCATTAACATTGAAATCCTGAGTAGCAACTTAGAACAATCCTTTTCTATGCAACAAATAGCATTATATTATTAGATATTACATCATCAAAATGTGAGTCCAGTTTGATATTTTGTCACCAAATTTTGTTACAGATGGCAAGAAGTAAGCTTCATGTGGATGACAAAGATGATAACCAGTGTTATGAATGTGGTCAAAAAGGACACTGGTATTTTTCTCCTAAATTTTCCGTTTTGTTCCTCATGCCTCCTTTAGAATCTATTGTACTGAAAAGCTTTCTTTCAAGCTTAATGTTAAATAATAATAAAAAGCAGAGCTAGCATACCATATATATGTATTTAGTCTAGTCCAGTTATAACAAGCAACCTTCATAGACCTAGGGGCGGATCCAGAGCAAATTTGAAGGAGGACAGTTGGTTTATGAGGGTGCTGAAACTTTTTTAGAAATTGGTGACAAGTGTACACTGTATGCAACAATTTGGGACCCTTACTACTGACAGAATGCTGTCTATTAATTTTCACAATTGTGCCAAAACATTGATATATAGTCTAACATGACTGAAGATTTCTTATTAAAATTTGTCACTTATATATTTTCCGGCTGATTGTTTGTTGCTCAGCCATAGTGGCTCCAACTCTGCTAGAGTACTCTGCAAAAGGGGCTGACAAAATTCCTTACCAGGAAATCAAATTTAGGGGGGAAGGGGGCAGAAAATTTGCCCCTTTTGGTTTATAGTTACTATTTGCTGCCAACATTATTCTTTGGGGGAGAGAAGGGTGGCCAAATTTGACCTTGCAAACTGATGTCAGAGTTTCAAGATATTTAGCATGCATTGTATGTTAGAACAAATCCAGATGGTCCAGTGTCATTAGAAAATGCTTGTTTTGTTCCATTACACCCTGAACGGTATAGGGCATGGTATTCAATTTCAGAATTTTTTGCTCCAGTAAAAAATTTATTTCAGTTTTGCTATTCTAAAGTACTAACACTGGGCTATTTTAAGCTACAAATCTCTTTTCAAATTGCTTGGTTTTAAAGTGGCTGTGTCACAAGGGACATACCGCGTGGCAACACACCAGTTTGCGAAAGTTGTTTGGGTGAAACAACCTACATTCAATAGGAAAACCAATATGGAATAGAACAGTTTTTTGTATTCATGCTCATCTTGCGAAGCTTTGGCATTTTTGCATGTTTTATGAAAGGAAACAAATAATAAAGACTCTTTCTTCAGTCTTATCACCATATTTCTTTGGATAAAGGATGGCGATACATAAAACAATGGCCACTTAAACGGCTAGGATACCATAACTCGCAGCATAGTCAATAGAGAAAACTCTGGTCTGGAAGCCTTTTGTTCTAACTCTTTGTTCGTGTTTATTGCAATCACGTGACCTAAGTAAGGGGACGCGTGAAAACAGGTGTATAGGGCTGTTGTTAAGTTTTGAATGTTTCTCGAGAATTACAATCTGTTCTGTGCTGATATTATTGAAACTATGGTCAGCTCATATTGTGCAGTTCAGGGATGAGGCATTTCTGTCATCACTCTTACTCGGAAGTAAGATTTCTTAGAACTTCGCGACGCAATTGACAAGATTTTTTGGCTTGAATAGACGGTATAAAAAGAATTACACGACTGTAAAAAATTATTTTAAGCGTCACATTGAATCTGGAGATGTTTTTATTTGCGAGAACATCGGCGTGGGGAAAAATGGGGTGGGTTAGTTGCAACTCCCCTCTCAGACAAAACTGTCACATTTCCGGCTCCACTCGGACAATTCTATCTCAATAAAGAAACGATTTTCGGGGAAGATCCATGCTTAGCCCCCCTAAACGTCGTACATCCGCTACGCGCCTGGCGAGAACCATAACCAATTAAGAAAGTTAAGAAAGTGTAAATTCTATGTTTCTCAAAAAGTCACATTTTGTAGTATGTTCAAGCGAAGTGAGGGCTTCAAGTATTGCAATCTTGAATGTCCTGTCTAGACCTGATAAGAGTTTTGAAACAAAAATACAAGCCTTCGTGGAACATTGATGAAGTCGAGTACGTTGCTGATACAGATATGGTTGAAATTTGAAGAGTCAAAATAGGGTGTGTTCAAAAAACTTGTGAAAGAATTGTTAGAGGAATACACAAAGGACATACAACAGGGCGCCCTCACCATCATCATTTTGGACCAAGGTCCGAGATAACGGGGAACCAGGGAGCCTTGCCAAACAAAAAAACTAATAGCATAAGTAAAATACTTTTTTTTCTAAGACTTGGCTGTTGCTACATTCATTAATCAGGGCTTCAAAACCCCATCCAAAAAAATCTCGGTCTCTGTTTGGACAGAACAAAAAATATTCAACGAAGGAACATTAGTATTATTTGAAAAGTTGATAGATGAAAAAGCAATAGATTAATCAGATTCAGCCTTTTTTGCATCCACATTTAATCAGCCATCATCTATTTTATGGTTTGAAAAATGTTTCTTGAAAGTAAGTATTTTTAATCGCGAAGACAGCCTTTGAAACGCAGAAAATTGTTTAATCTGACTCGTGCAATAACCAACTTTGTCAAAAGCCCAAATATCATTGTTTTTGACACTTATGGGTCTCCTGTGTGCGCTGGGCTTCACGAAACTGTCTGCATCTGCTATTGCGAGAGAAGAAAATGTTTTATCTTGTCCCTTTACTTAGGTCACGTGATTAAAATAAAAGTGTTTTCAAGTTCTAGATAAGAACAAAAGAACAAAACAATAGGCTTCCAGACCAGAGTTTTTTTCTATTGACTATGCTCGCAGGGAGCTATTTATAAAAATTGGCCAAAATGACACTAAAAACCTACCTTACTGATGTAGATTATGAGCGAAAAACATTATTAAAGTTTGCAGGACATATTTGGAGTAATCATTCTGTTGTAGAGTTCCTAATTCCATCTAAATTCACCAAGAGAAACGGAATATCTTCGTCATGATTGAATGAAGCTTTTCGTTTCAATAGTCAGTACATATGCTGAAATATAGCATTTGTCTATTCCATGTTCGATGAATACGCTCAGAAAATACAATTTATCGAGCTTGTCAATGCACCGGAGCACCATCCTCCATTTTCCCGATGTGCAAATCAGGCTAGAAACGCACAATGTCCTGTGTATTTGGTTTGTTTACAAAACCATGACATAGCCCCTTTAAGTGAGTCTTTTTCTAGCCCCTTTTCCACTTTCTTGCATTGTTTTCATTTGTTAAACTGTTGATGATACAAGAAAAAGATGTATATAATTAATTATTTATATATATATATATATATCTATTTATTTAAGGGCAAGAGAGTGTCCCAAAAGATTGTAAGTAATTACAGTGCTTGTTTAAATATTTGAATTTTCATGTTAGCAATATTAAGGTAAATTTTTTTAAATGAATCATACGTATGGCATAGCTTTGAGCTAGAAAGTTCATTTGAAAATATCTTTGAAAATGTCAAAATTATTGCCAGTCATAATAAATTTTCAAGGCCCCGCCCTCTCCATGTGGCCCCCACGCTGGAAGTCAAACTAATTGTATTTACAAGTTATACAAGTTACCAAAATAATAAAATGATGCAATAATAGAAATTAAAAAGAGATAAACACGCCTAATTTCAATGGCATGGATAACATAAAAAGGTCAAGCAGACTTTATTTCCATATTGGTCCCCTTAGAGGTGCTCGTTTGTTCTGCTGTTTTGCAAGAAAAATCTTGTTGTCTGCACTCCACGTTCTTTTTATCACTAGCATCCTAGAAGTCAAGGTGAAGTACTTCTCTGCCTACCTGGATGCGCGCGCATATTGTTTCAGTTTACGCTTGACATTGGATTGCAGTGGTCTATGTGTACTAGATTTCTACACATTGCATATGTTGTTTCTATCATTGTACTAGTGAAATTCATTGTAGAGCCAAAGGAGGAAGACGCGGACCACCACCCCCACCACCACCAAGAGGCTCCTCAAGGCGTGAGCTGCCCCCGTCGCCAAGATCTAGAGCCCCACCACCAAGGGACTCGAGAGAGCCGAGAGAGCCGAGAGAGCCAAGGGAGCCAAGAGAAAGCAGAGACTATTATTATGAGAGGCCACCCCCAAGAAGCTATGACGATTACCCTAGGGGGTATGATTACGACCGTCCTGTGCCAAGAGGGTATGAGAGTTATGACAGAGCCCCGCCACCTGCACGTAGACCTGTTGAATATGCCGCTTCCTACAGAGGGAGGAGCAGAAGTCCACCTCCAGCCAGGCATGATATATTTAAGTCATCGTTGGAATTAATTGTTTGATTTGTTTGATTTGAAAAATAATCCTTTTTAATGTTGAACTGATTTTTAAAAAATTCAAATCATTGTATGTTAGAGACAATGACAGTTGGGTATAATGTGATAGCTCGTATTTTTTATATCTTTGAAAGCTATTTTTAATTGTATTCATATTTTCAGCTATTTTATTATAATTTTATTCATAATTTTCTATTCAATAAATATAGAATATATATATTAATATTTTTTAATTTTTTAAACCAAAACTTAGTCGTGCTTTCTTGAAATTAGGAAATGTTGGTGTTTAAGCCTCTTTTTTCATGTTGTGATTTCATTTGCTAATTTCAGAAGAGAATACTTACCTCCAAGAAGCTCAGATCCTTATGCCAGGGATCCATATGCACGAGATCCTTATTACAGCCGGGAAAGTTATTCACGAGGTGATGCATATTCAAGAGACCCGTACCCAAGGTCTTCAGATCCTTATGCAAGATCCTCTGATCCTTATGCAAGATCCTCTGATCCCTATGCAAGCTATAGACAACCACAGGACAGCTATGCTTCACCTTATAGTACATCACAGGCAAAAAGGTGAGTCTTGATGTTTTCTTTATTTATATTCATTTTGCTGGCTGCAGGATCAGTAATCGTAGCATTGACAAGTGGTGCAAGAAAAAGAACACCCAGGGGTACTCGGCAAGTTGAAAGGCTGTTGACCAATATACAGTAAAAATGAAATGGATATAATGCTCATTTTTGCTAAGCTCTTTGCTGTAAAAATGCCTTTTATAAAGCAGTTATTTCCCATTGAAGTGGGTTATATTATTCTTTGGGCAACCAGTCATGCCAATCAGCAGAGAAACAAGTTTGTGCAAATTCGTTTGTTAGGCCCTTCAACAGTTTGGTTACTGTTGGCAGAGGTTGGTTTTCTCATTTCCTCATTTCGTGCCGATGTTGTCGGAAATGGAGTTACATCTCTGACATCGCAAATGTGATTTTGTAATGAATTTTAGGCACAATGAAAAAAGATGTTGTGTATGCATCAATGCACCATTGACCTTTCGCGTATAAATTGTGACGTTGTATCATCTTTTCACGATCTTGTATGAAAATTTTGTGATATAGGTACAGCGAGTCGTCTGCTCCTCCAAGATCAGCCGCCGGACGGTACTAGTCGTGTCACGTCGTCAAGTCAAACTGTCGCGATGAATGAGTCGTAGAAAACTCCCCGTGGATGCTGTATTTGAAAGCCATTCATTATACCAGTTGAAGCCTGTGCCTGTCAACGAACATTTTATCAACTGATACATATATGAATTTGCTTGTTGACTTTCATTTTAGTTCTTTTGATATTAGTTTCCATAAATGTGTTTTGAGAAATTAACAAAAGCTATATTTTTCTCTTTATTGCTACAAAATGCTGATTATGAAAGCGTCGTCTCTTCAGCCCCTGTTAACTGGAAACCCCCTTACATTAGATTAGATTTGCCTAATTCAAAAGAGATGTATGAAACATTGAAAATCCTTTCGATGCTACACAATATTCGTTTGAGTTTTGGCTTGCTTCTCTATCATGGAACTTTTAAAGGCCAGGCATAAAATGTGAACCGTTCACAGGATTTTTAGAAGTCGTTCTGTTCTATCACCAGTTCGGACGCTACTTTTTCTATACGTCGACGAAGTGCATCAACGATACAGATATGATCACCGTTTACGATGCCAACAAGCACGGATATCTAAAAGAACAGATAAAGCAAAATGCCCAGAATACCGTATTATTGTTCCTTGGTATGTTAAGAATACGTATCGTATGTATAGCAGCCAGCGCCCGTCGGGATTCATTACTGTATCGTTCGCCTTGGCACAAATTGAATTTCTTGTCACTGAATAAACGGATTGAAGCGTGAGTTTAACCTTTGATCGTATCTATTTTCTCTACACTGGAAGTTCCCTTCTTACATCGAAGATGTTTCAAGATAGAGCATTTTTCAAGTAAGTCACCAAAACCTGTCTAGTTTAGTGGCATCTTAAAAAGGTAAAATATTTTAATTTGTAGCAAGGTATGTATTGTATATATGCTAAGTATTTCTAACAGCTTTGGTTCAATATTGTTTTGGTCATTAGCTTTCTCGAGCTGACGCGAAGAAGTCTTGTCGTTGTTACTTGCCATTCGTGGGCAAGTGGTCGGATCTCACGTCTGGGAGGATTTTTCGTTTGTTAGTTCGTGTGCCAAACACGTGTTGGGAAGCTCGCGAGCTAGACGTTACAAATGATGATATGCTCGATGTGCTGGGTCCATGCTGACAGTGTTTCTTTCTCGGTTTCAAAACGTTCGTGGTTCTGCTGTTATTTCGTTTCGAAACTTCGAACATGGATTCTATCGATCAACTTTTTAAGTCACTAAACTTGAAAAAACCAGACATATCCGTGGAAAATAATTGAGCGAAAATTGCAAGTAGATCAATTAAATGTGAAACAACATGATCATATGACTTGTAGTTGATGCCATGTACATACACATTGTTTCATTTTTGAAGTGTGGTTTACAGAATTCTACGAAATTATCTTGCAACAAATCCAAGTAATGGAGTACATATTCTTGCAAGTTGTAATTATTGTCAGCGTCTTCTCATCGACAATACTAATTTGTTTTGTTTGTTTTTTTCACAGTGTTCTGATTCCTCTGGCCGCATAAATTCACCCGTTGGTGAAGGAGCTGGCGACGCCTACACTGCCGACGCCCACACTGCCGACGCCCACACTGCCGACGCCCACACTGCCGACGCCCATTCAGTCAAGACCCTTCAGTATGGCAATAAAGTACGTTCATGGCCTTTTTGCAGCACCTTATAATTTTTACACATTTACATGAACACAAGGCCTAGTTTGCTGGTGATTTTTTGCAAAAGCCCGTGTTTTATTAGAATCTGCTATTTTTATAGATCTTGCTTTGGTACTCAAAGCGAGTTTGTTGATTTGAGGAGAATTGGTGGATTTGATCATCTCAATTAGAAAATAAAGGTAACTTTTTTCAATCCTTTCTAGATTATCATGGTCTAGGTTTTGAAAATACAATGTTTGGTTCTTAAATTGTCTTTCGTTAATACCGTACGATTGCATGAACAATCTCTGCTTTGAACCAGTTGTGAAAAAAAGCAATTATAAGATTAAAAAAAGCGGATTGTGAAAATATATTAGATCTCATATCCCTTTCTTGAAGGAATTAAATATTGTGGCCTTTAATGCTTACAGAATATAATTAAATTCTAAAGTGATTTTTTTGAAACCGAATCCAAATTTTCGGGTATGCGATCTACAAAATTTTGGCAGGGATAGCTTACATTCTCATTTTTTCAGCTAAATATTGCTTTTGCTTGGATGCAAGAATTTTTGTCGTTAGTTAAGTAAAAATTTGGTTTTCTTACGAAATCGAATCTTTTGCGTAGGTCAGGTACTACTAATACCAAAGAAAACTTTCCGAAATGGTAAGGTTCTCATCTTTTTTTTCAGAGAATGCAGACAATTATAAATAAATGGCCACCTTCCCAATGTCGCATGGCAACTGATTGATCAATTTTCGCACGATCCTTTTGGTCACTTGTGCTTTTTCATTCAGCGAATGTATTTTCCTAGAAAATATCATCGCATTCATCGGCATTGCAATCGCAGTCACTTGCGCTGCAAAACAGTATACTACAAGGATACGTCTTAGCAAACCCTTAATGACAAGAGTTCATTTGAATAGTGAAGCTTAACTAGTTCAATTGATTTTTCTCAAGTCATTTTTATTCGTATGATTTACACTGAATTGGACAACATTTTAGGTTTTTATAAAATCTAGACTTCTGGTTTTATTATTCCTGGTTTTATCACTCCTGGTTTTGTTATTCTTCTGCGGGAATAAGACCTACCTGGTGTAATTGTTACAATTGTTTTGATGTTAAAGATGCTACCTAGTTGTGTACGAAAGGAGCAACTACTCGATATTTTGCTTTATGACACTTAATAATGACAATATCGCTTCGACTTCCTTAAAAAAGTATCGCACAGTTTTGTTTACGATATTAATTACAAAGTTTACCAGCATTATGTACAAGTGAACAAGTTTTCAAAATTCCATTTTCAACACTCTAATCATCTTCATACTCTTCGCTCTCCTCCTCCTCCTCTTCTTGCTCTCTGGCTTCTTGCTGCGCGGCTTCCATCGCTCGCTCAGCCTCCACTGTTGGGTCCTCTGCTTCTGTAACCTCGGGACCACTCGGGTATTCATCCTGGGTTGGTGGTGGCACTGGTGGGCTGTAATTCTCTGCACTATACCTAAGCCCCCATCCTACGTAGAGGTTTTCAAATTTCCTGCAAGGTTAAAGTCGCAAAACATGTACCGTTTACAGCTCATGATTGTTTGTTGGTAAGCAAAGTATTCAAGGCCTGAAAACATTCTGAAAATATTTTAACCCGTCCTTAAATAAGATTGAAAAAACTGATGGTTAACCTTAAAAATAGTTCTACTGAAAATACATTTTGTTGATTGCTACAGAGAGTTCACATCTTCTTGAAGCATAAATTTAAGCCTTTTTCAAATTTGGATAAAAAAAGGATGACCATCTTCTTTGAAGAAATGTTTCTGTTTTTTCTTTATTATTACCTTTGGAAGTTCTTATCTAAGATGTTTTGACATTTTCATGGCAAATATGAACTGTCGTGGGACAAGTTTCTTCAATCGGCATATTTGTGCCGGAAAATAGTGACAAAGATATAATCATGTCCTATATTTCCAGCTGAAAATGGTCCCCTGTTGGCAGGCACATTCCCGGGTATTTAATATATTAAGTAGACCCCCCCGGGGTTAAGAGGCAGTAAGTAATGTCCATCCTTACTTGTCAACACAGTATGCATGGGCCCCCGGCCAAAGGTTTGAGTGTAGCACTGCGATTGCATATTGTGGTATCAAATTAGTTGATTTTTGTGCTGTCCATGCAGGCATACCATCCACTTCTGTAAAATACAAATTGTAAAGCCATGGTCAGGTTTTTGAATTGTAAGAGGTCCATAGGTATCTTTTTTTCCGACCTCATCAGTGATGTCACTGTTTTCCAAAGAGGGGGGGGGGGGTATTTCAACAAAAGATTTTTTAAGAAAACACAAACAGATCTACTCAAAGAATGGTTAAAATCATAAAAGCAAAATAGAGCAATGGCTTGCCGTTGTCTTCTGAAATTGGTGTGAGCAAAGGTGGGCCACTCTCGGGTTCTGGTTCGTCCGGTTCTTCCCTTTCGTCATCTTCGTCTTCCTCCTCTTCTTCTTCCTCGGACGGTAGGGTTGGATTGAACCAGGAACATCTTCCCTGAAAAGCAAGTTTTTAAATAATGGGCCTTCGATGAGATTAACTGAAGCGAAAACAAAATGTTTCAGTCATCTTAAATTTCCAATGTCCTTGTTTGCAAATCAAGTTCGGAACGCTAACGTTAAGAAAAGAAGCTGCCATATTGTTACTAAAAAAGGTGTCAAATTGTCCAAATTCGTTGCTAATGTTTAAAATGTCAGATTTTCTCTAATCGACTTTAGTTTTGTTCACAACAGAGGAACTTTTCTAAGTGATTTTTCTTCTAGTAACAAGAATTTAAAGCATTTTCTCAGAATTTTCCCATTTGAAACTAGATGAAACAGAGTTTTCAAAAAATGGTTAACGAAAGTTTGATGTGAAATAAATAAGCCTTATAGAATTTGCACTAATTATGTGTGAAATATAATTACTTTTAAGGGACGGGATGTTAATTTTGTTGCTCAGGGCAAGGAGATAAAATTTAACTGACCTGCGGTAGGATGTAGGGCATGTGGTGAACCCAGAATGACAGTGATGGATCAGTTAATTCACCAATCGGTAGTCCTTCGAAATCTATGTTCATCTCAAATTTTTCTGGTCCTGCAAAAATGGAAACATATCAACATATCAGTCATAGTTTTAGAATAACTGCAGTTCTTAAGTTGATACTTTGCAAAGATTTTAAAGAAATTGCTTCAATATCGAAAAAAAATGTTAACACTTTACTCAAATCGATAACGAAAAAAGAAGCAACTAACCAACTCCCTCGTCGTCATCTTCTTCATTTTCTTCAAATATATAATATCCTTGAGGACTTATATGTGTACATGCGGATATTCGTGCAATCTGGGCTCGCAGGTAATTACCTTCATTGCCAGGAAACGGGGGGTAACTGATGACCTGAAAAGTATGCCGCAAGATATCAGGACCGAATATTTCGTAACGTCCAACGTAGCATTCAAAATTTTAGAACGATTTGTTCACAAAGGAGGGAAATACATTATTACACGAAAATAACGCGGTACACGAAATAACGCGGAACAATATAATGTGATCACAAATAAACGCGAATAGCGAGATTGGATTCCAAAATGTGGGGTAACTAATGCGAATCAACAAAATTATAAAATGGTATTTAATTAGCGCGAATTTCTAATGTCAGCAAAATATTTTTTACTGAAATATATTCAAATTCAGTACAGGAAAAAAATGACAAATACTTGAAATCAAGGTAGATTGGAGATTTCAATAAGGGTATCAGTCACGTGGGATGAGCCTGAAAAATTGACAATTTAATGGGTAAGGTGAAAGAGATCAAGTACCCCCTGATCAGAGAGTATTTTGATGACTCGAAAAGTACTAGGGACTTAGCAAGATGAAGATGATGACGAACATGTGGAATTTCAAGGAGAACGGTTGATAATGAGGATATTCAAATGTATCTTTTGTACCTTGCTTAAAACTGGGAAAAGGTGTTCTCCTTTTAATAGAACTAGTGAAAAGAGAACTTTCCGGTGCTTACGTTTTGGCACTTTCTATTATCCTCATTTTTCAGATATAATAATGATGTATTGCAGATATCATCAGGCAATCTGTTCATTTTCAATAGTTTTGAAAGTTACATAAAAAATTTTAAAGTGGGATGAAATAAACGGATGTTTATTTAACGCTTGACATTTGATAACGGAGGAGAAATTTACGCAGATATGAAACAAATTAAATTCCGCGGAATTATTCAATTCGCGTTAGTTGATGTACCGCATTATTTTCGTGTAATAAGGCAGTTACGTGTTCGATCAATCATCCATCATTTAAGTATAATTTACTAGTGCATACCCCCAGTCGAGGTGTGTTGTAATATACTTGAATTAAACGTTAGTAGAATGGGAGTCCCGTTTTTACTCGAAGTAGGTACAATAGTATGACAGAAAAATACTATGTATCGTAATTTAATCAACAACAGCAAGCAAGCGGAACAAGCACAACCATGGAAGTTGACTTACTTTACAGGACAGGGCTTGTAGAGATCATTTTTCTTCAAGCTTTTTTAGACTAGGGCACTTGTACCAAGTTCACTTTTGAGTATCACACTATAACTTTACTACAATGCGAGTTATATCACCGAAACTATGTTTCCAGGCGCAATTTGACGTGCTGAATAGAATGATATGCAGCTCCAACTTCTAAACTTCACTAAAAGCTATTTATAGAATGGGTAATTGGTACCCAGTGAATATCTGGGTATCGCACAATAGCCTTGCAACTATGCAGATTGTTTAATTGGCGTAATCTGACTCGCTTAGTTAGATAAAGTATATGTCCAGCCGGCGAAACAAAGAAGACAGTTACCTAAATACCTATAAAATATATTTTTTGGTATGTCTTGGTACTGGATACGTAGCTAGGTACTTAACAAGGGCTTTTTGGCTTTTTATTGCCAGTTGAGCTGTGATTCACTTACAAAGCCTTTTTAGGCGAGCTAGCTAATTTGGCTGTATTACGTACATGCATATTTCAAATAAAAAATCCTGTACTTTCTAAAGTACGTTTTTCTTGCTAATCCATTCACCTTCTTTCAAATTTGCATACAGCCAGTTAAATGTCTTTAAATAAGAAGATGGAAAGCGAAAGTACCTCAGCATCTAGTCTTCCTGTCATGAGCTTACGTATCACTCGTGAAACGCTTATCTGTTGCGGTGTAACGGGCGGCAGTCGATGCCACGACTTTCCAGCTAAAATTGGGGAACATAAATTAGGGAACCAGAAGAAAAAATCATAGGAATGCAGACAAAATAAAGATTCTGATTGTTCCAAATTCGGTTTTATTAAGCATGCTTTAGAACCATCATAAACATGTATGAAAATCACTTACGTTCGTTGCAAACAAAATATACTTTAGCGTTGCAACCAGTTCCAATTTCTTCTTTGGGAATCGGAATCGGTGGCTTGTAATCTACTTTAGGGATGTCGTCAAATTCTGACTGCTGTTCTTCTGCAAGAAGCAAATAAAACGGTTACTTACTTACTTACTTACTTACTTACTTACTTACTTACTTACTTACTTACTTACTTACTTACTTACTTACTTACTTACTTACTTACTTACTTACTTACTTACTTACTTACTTACTTAGGCTTTCAAATTCGTGGTGAACAATGTCTACATTAGAAAGGAAATTTCGATAATTTTCTGTTTGGAAAAGTTCTTTGTCCTTTGATTCACTTACATGCCAAGCATGGTGAACGGGTTTGTTTTTGCCTTTTGGAATACTAATAGACAGCAACTTACTTTATTATTTTTATTATAATTTACCTTCGTTTTTACGTTCTTTTTCTTTGTTTTGCTACGCTTGTTTGTTAAGTTCATATTTGATTTGTTTGATTTGTGTTTTGAATTTAGCGACTTTATAGTAGCGAGAAGAAATACTAGCGGGGTTTCTTTGAATGTTTTGCTTGCTACAGATTATAGCTATTCATATGGACCCGGGCAAACGAGTGAAGGGTGCTTCCTATAGCTTATGCATACCCTCCAGAGACAATACCTCCGAGTAGTTCGAAAACCGTGTTTTTAGAAATTCAAAAAGTAGGACCGATGAGATCTTAATTGCTCAAGAATTCACAGATGGAACTCGATTAACTGAAATTCGCTAAGAGCAAGGATGTCGCTTGCTATTGTTGTCAAGGGTGGTGTTCAGGTCTGTTTTTCGACAAAGTGGGTGAGCCGACGGAGCACCCATACATGGCAAAAACCTCTCCGTTTCTGCAACGGATTTTTTTTTCAAAAAGTTTGTCACAATGCCCCACTGTACCGACGGCGAAGCCTTCGGGGTCCAGAATTTGGAAACGGGAACTAACGGAAAAGCTGCGTTAGCTTAGAATTTACTTTACAATCCATTTAAAGACAGAGAAAGAACAAAATTTAACAACCTATCAAATAAGAGCAATGAACACAGACCGAATGATTAGCTTATTAGCTATATGTATTTTTTTGTTCTTTCTTGCCAACGTTAAAGAAATTGTTAATAATAATAATAATGATAATAATAATAAAAAAATAGTTGAGAGAAAAAAGATAAAATAAAGTGGTTTACAGAAAAATTATACCAGGAGAAGAAAAGGTTGCACAATACTGCCATTATATGCTTGAAGACTACATAAAGAAATGGGGCAGGAAGAAGTCACTGTAACAGGAAAGAGCAAGGTCACTCGGAAGCTGGAGAACAATAAAACTGCCTTTGTGAAACGCATAAGTAAAAAATGAAGAAAATAAACAAATAAGGAAAAATAATGGGATGTTCAAAGTGCTGTGTTAACACATCAAATACGGCTTTTGTTTAAGTACAGTAAGCGAGGAATGAAAACAGTCGGTGCAATAAGGACCTGCAAACGAAGATTTTAGTCAAATTGAAATGGCTCGTGGCGAAAGACAAATAGCAAGCGGTAATACAAAAGAGGGAGCAGACAAATTTCCAAAGCGCAAGCAAAAAGAGCGACTTTAAAGACCAAACGAGAAAAGTGGAACCCTTGACATGAAGATGAGAAAACGGAATATAAAGAAGAGTGTCTTTCCTCTCCTACCAGCAGACACATATCGTGACCATCGTAAATATCGTGTCGCATAAAACTAGGCCAAGAAAGGAGGTGTCGTTTGCTTTTCCCCGTCACAATAAGCTTTAACAGAAAACTGTCTGCATTGTTGCCACTTTCAGTTGGAACATCAGTTGGAAATCTGCCTACTGTACCTTTTAAGCAAGTCTTTACAGCTTAACCAAAACCAATTTAGGTTTGGAGCACTGCGGGGGGGGGGGGAGGTTTGTAAAGCTGTTCTTCCTGTTCTTTTTGTACAAAAAAATTTATGAACGAGTCATAAATGACTTGCAAAAAATCTGCAAAAACTAACGATACAATCTTATGTGTTTCTTCACAAAAAAACATTGCAAACGTAGCTAAAACATTGTTATTACCTGCAAGAAGCAAGGTTTCTTTAGCTTCAGTTGCTTCCTAGAATGAGAAGTTTATAACAGGATGAGAAAGAGCTGTCAGTCAATTTAAAGATAATTGGTTTAGCGGTTACTTTTTTGTTTAAAACTCACCTACTTGTCTATACTCAAGGTCTATAAAAAGCAATAAACAAGTCATAATGCTTGAACAAGTCAAATGAACTAAGTTCTACATGTTTACGTTTAGGTAAAACATCGAACAATCTAGTTTCTGCTTCAATTAGATCATCTTACCTGCTGTGATGATGTGTCGTCTTCATCGACATATGGGTCCTCTCCTTCTCTAAATTGAGCTTCAGCAACATAATAGTTTCCTTCAATGCCAAATATTTTACCTGAAAAATGGCTGGTCACAGTTATTTCTTAGTTGAAACAAAGAAGACCAACTATCAAAGGGGGATCAATTACAAAAACATTTGTTCTTATGTTTTAGGAATCACTGACAAATTTTTTTCATGTCGACTTTTGAAGACAACCAAATCGGCCTATCAGTTCAATTTGAGCGTAAACGATCTCCTTTAATTCGGACACTCATGATGGTACAGACTCACCCCAAAATCGGCACACTTCAAATGAATAAGCATCCGATAGCTGTTTGGTTGCAAGGAATACTCTAAAGGTCTCCTCCCTTCCAAGACCAACATTCGCTTGTTCAAAATAGTGAGCATGCTCTAAAACATCACCAAGAACTTGTCTTCCTTCTTCTTCCATCTCATTTTCAGCCATGATTGGCAAATCCGCATCTTTTCTCTAGAAAAGCATAGTTACATTGTTACGGTCGATTTCAAATATTTACAGCATTATTTATAACTATTCTTCCACCATATCATCGAGTATGAATTAAAAAACTGATTGGGTAAATGAATTCATACCTCAAACAAGCACCGATGTTCATTTGCCAAATAAACTTCAGAAAGCACCTCAACTTGATCCTGGAAAAATGAAAGTAGATAATCAAACAACCATTGTATATATACCCATGGAAACTCTTCAGTCGGAGTGCCAACACAGGCAAACTCAATAGTGTCTATGACTGAGTTTGAATTCTGCTTAATTCTAGGCGACCTTTTTCCTTTACTTCTCCAATACCACATATATTGCGCGGACATGGCAATTTACTGGGGAACACAATCTAGGAGAACACCTTTCTCCCAAAAAACAAATCTTAAAGTTCTGAACTTTTGCTAACCCACTCCCTTTTCATTGCAATGTCATGAACATGGGACCTCTAGAATCTGAACTTTATATCAGGATTGTGTCAGACAATAAAAAATGTACTCGATCATAACAAATGCCACGCTTAATTTGATCACCCAGCAGCTGAAGCAACACTTTATGAATAGAGATACTTAGCCTATATGGAAACGGAAACTGAGCATTCTGGAAAAACCATACCCTAGGATCTTTGTATCCTCATGAACATTTAGTCCGTCTTGGTCCAGTTGAATGTTGCCATTTTTCACAACACGTGATGAAGATTACGATAAGTCACAGCTGGTAGCACACAAAAACTATATAATAGTGAGCTTACTGACAAACGTAAGTTGAAAATGATTTCAAACTTATACTCAATATGAAATAAATATAACTGCAATATCCAAGAAATGATAGCACTTTATGCATTTTAAATAAATACCTGGATGGTATCTGGTTCTGTTTTAAAAGCACTTCTTTTCTGTTCTCTGCTTATGTCTTCAAATATTTCTGAGAAAAGATAAACAGCAATAACGAATGAGACAAAAACATAATATGCTAAAATCAAAATGATTTTTTCGATATTCAACCTTCCTTAAAGTTTAAAACTGGTCAGGTTTTTCAAAAGATGATATAACACAGTGACAACATGCCTCATGCATATCAGGAATAATGCTGCAAAGAAGCAGAATCAAATATGATTTTTAGCATGCAAAGATTTGACTTTATAGCTATCTTTTCGACAGTAAAATTATGCATTAATAGCATCGTCAGTTTGTAATGCAAGTCTTATTGGGAAAATGGTCTGTCTAGTAAGATAATAAAACCTAAGAAGATAACGACTCGGTTTGGTACCTGATAGACAATTACATATGTAGCGACTTTGTTCTAAATGAAAACAGTCATCGCAACTTTAGAATGTTTACTATAGTTAAAGGGCCTGTTTGTTATCTTGATACTGATCGTTTAGAAAGCTTGCAGATTCAAAAAGAAAATAAAGTTTTCATCATTGCATAAATGTTCTTTTCATCATTGTACAAGTTTCATTCATTATTGCACAAATGAGTCATCACTGCACGTTAAATTTTTCTCAGGCCATTGCTGAGCGTGTAATGGAAAGAGTCAATCCTAGCAAATATGTGAATTTTTCCTGTTATCCATCTTGTATGTCAGGGGGAAACCTAGAGGAGGTATAGTGCGGAACGACCCCACGTAAAGTTTGATGCATGAAGACGACAAACTAGCAAGAAGCATGTAAGCAGTATCTTATAAGGCTAGAAAATGTTATTGTTGACATCTTTGAACTGAAAATTAGAGATATAAAATTGATAATAAGTGCTTATAAATGATTTTAAATATTTTTCGTTTGATACAAAGGAAATAAATATTTTATCAAACAATGAGGAAATATCATGAAAAGCCAAAGAACACGCAAGAATATCGCTCGAAACGTGTAATTAATTTGTTTATTTATCCTTCCTAAAGAAGATCGTCGAGATGGTTTCATTGACATGCCCTTTGTATTGGCATTATTTCTTGTTCTCTAATGCACCCAAGACTGTATTTTCATGAAAGTGACTTATAACAACTGAAAAGTCTGGTTTTTAGGTCTCTAGAAGTACTGCAGAGGGAAAGAAGATGCTTTCAATTTCAAAATTTATTTCACAGGAGACTTGTGCTGTTTCGGTAGACATGCGATTCCAATTTGTTTAGTTGCTCCATAAGAACAGGTTTAGCAAAACAAGGAAAATTAGCAACACATTCTTTTCACATTTTCATGTTGTTTAACTGCTCGAATTGGTTTTGAAGGGTTTGTCTACGCAATTCATCCGAAGTGTACGCAATTCATCCCAACTTGCCCTGAACCTCCTAAAATAATTTGATTTGCGTCCCTGCCCAATGATCCAACCCCATACGATCTATTACAATCATAATTCCCTCTCTGCCTCTCTTTTGTCTAAACCGACATCATGAAACGGGATTTTAGTTCGTTGTATGAAGTCTAACAGATGGTTGAGTCATTTGCAGAGAACAATACGATGTGACTCTTTGCCAGGACACTCTTTCATTTCCCAACAGGTTTATTGAAAAGCAAAGTTCTTTTTGCTTTTTGTTCATTTTTTCACCAAAGCAAAAAACTTTTGACTTGTTCTCAACTAAAGTCTTTCAATTAAAAAAACTCTACAAAATCGACAATTTTTACTGTTTGTTTTCATTTAAGTTGATGGCAGTGAGTGAGTGAATATCGTACTTGGATAAGCAGGCGAATACGAATAAGCGTACAATCATATATAGGCAAATATAGAAAAACATCCACACTTTTCAGTACCTCGAATTATGAATAATGTGGGCATATTTGAAGAAAGGTCAAACAAGGTGACTTTAATGAATTTTTTCTTGTCGTATCTTCAGCAACTATCGTTACTTCAATACATTTCAAATCTAAAATAGTTTAGAAAGGGAACTATAAAGGAATAGAAAGCCCCACATGTAAAACATTTTGCTGTTATTGCGCATATGGGGTAGACCGCTGGTACAACCAAATAATGTTCTAGGTGTCTATATCTGTTTTTTTCTGCAGTGTGTTGTAGAAATGTGTGAATCTAGTAAAAATAGCTCTACAGGCAAATTACAGGTACGACACTGCATTTGGCTGGTGGTACATTTAGAACCTTTCAAATCTATCGTTATGTATAAGGGCACATGCTGAAAAAGTATTCATCCTCAAACATAGCTTTTTAATGAGGACGTAGTGTACTTACTTGAGAAAAACGGTATTTGCTAGAAGAATTTACTCAAAATATAGATAACTAAATTAGTAAGAGCCAAGTCGTGAACTCGAAATGATATGAAACCAATTAGTGAACAGGAATCAAATTTCACAATCAACTGCAATAAACTGATAAGAAGCACTATCAATCTAAAGAAAACAAACTTCAATAGTAAAAAAAATGCCAAGGGCCTTTTATAGCAATTACCTGATAACTTTATTAAAAGAATTAACAAAGGTTAACTTTACTTTTCCCTTTGTTACCCATTTCTAATAGTCCCTTTTAAAGATATGAATTTTATCATAATTGAATAACTAATTTTTTATTACATCTAAATTTTAAACATAAACAATAATAAGAGTATGCCTAAATAATTACCTGAGGCATTTTGTGGTTTGTCTTCTAGAATCTTTGTTATTGTTGATACTAGGTGATCGTACCTAAATGAAGAAAAGCTATCAATAATGTACATTGTAATTGAAGACATACTGCACTTGAGAAACTAGATAAAGTCAGAAATTAGAAACTAGAGCGAGGAAACTTAGGACAATTTCTGCATGCAACCTTATTCGTTATTGCATGTGTGTACCTGCTATACTCTGAGGTTGGTTGATTAAAAACAGGGTTCATGGCAGAGTCTAAAATTTAAAGGTGGACTGAAATGCATCACTGTCTTTATATAATGCAGAAAATGATGCATGAAATTTTAATTTCAAATTTTCTGTTCATTATTATTGTCCCTTTTCACACAATTGCGCTTTACATGTCATGAAATTGTCCTAGAGTGTTAAACTATTGTCAGCATTTTTAATGGCACAAGATGCGTGATGGCACAAACACCATGATTTTATTCCTTGAATGCAAATCACACACAAACTTGACAGTTCAGTTCATATAGTTAAGTTACTATTTGAGAAGATCTATGTAGCCTTTGATCCAAGATATATGAAAATTTGAGGATAATGAATCATAAAAGATATGTGCTGGCTGGTACAGTGTTATGATTGGAGGGAATTCAAGTTTGGAAGGAAAAGGCACTTTTAGTTACTCGAAGAAATACTCAGTTCTGATATTAATCATACAGACAAATGTTAAAATTTTATCATCTTATCATGAATCAATCATATTTCTTCGAATGAAACTAAAATATTATTACTTTGATATATTGTTTTTACATCCAAATAAATTGAGTGCACCAGGTTCTTGACCTCTAAAAATTCTTTATTTGATTGGATATGAATATGCCAAACAACAGTGACATGAATCTGAAATCTTTGTAAACATCATTTATTGAAGTTCATAAGGATAGGTATCCAGAAAAAAAAGAAAAAACTAAGAATGGGCAATAAAGTCACTCACATGAAGGAGTCATTGTGTAGTTTTAAACTGCAACATCACTTACAAAGATTTTCAATGCTGAAAATTACAATTAATTGCCATTTTTTCAATTCTTTTTTATCAATATTTGCCTGTTTTTGTTTGATATGTTGACCCGCCACACACAGGGGTACAGAATGCTGTCATTTTGTAAAAACTTATAACTATCTACAAAGAAAAGAAACACTTGATCCATTGTTCTCTTGTTATTTCTTGGTCACACAATATTGTTATGTGAAGACTTGTTTGGGAGACAAAACTTTCAGTCATTTGTTTTGAAACAATATCATCTTAAACAAATCAGTGTTGCATGGTCATCACATGTGCATTAATAAACAGCATTTGCACAGCTGTTCTGTCTGGGACCACACAACTATTGAACTTCCCGTCAGGGCTTGGAATGACAATGCACATGATGCAGCAACGAGGGCTAGTGCATGTCTAGAAGATGGGCATGATTCATCTCCCGAACAAAGACTTAAAAATTAATGAAAGGGAGGAAGCAACAAATTCTCATAACAGAAAAAGTATATGACACTCTTTTGCTTTCTCAAATCTGCAACATTGGAAAGGAATGTTAACAAAAGATTGGAATCTCAGGATTATTCTCAAAAAATATAAAAATTGGTTAGAGGAAAAGAAGAAAAAGGAAGAAATTTGCAAAATTTGAAATTGATGACTTTTTCTCACCAGTAGTAATCAAATTACCCTGACCATAAGATGTTGCAAACTTGCATTTATCTTTAAACTTTTTTCTAACCATCATGGTGAAATAGAAAATATCCGTATAATTGAAAATCATAAATCTTGAATACAAACTCAATTACTGCATTGTTGGCTGTTTTGTAATAAGTAATCTTCCCTTTATCAAAGCATTAAAAGGCCTCAAACAGCACCCTAGGTAACAGTATCCAAAAGCACATAGAATTTTCCTGGCAGAATATTGTTTTTTGAAGATTTCTGTAAGTTGATGTGTGCAATGATGGACATGAATCAGATCTGTGCACCAAAAAGACCTTTTTGTAATATTTTTACACAAGTTTTTGCACTAGTTGACTACTCTGTGCACTGTATTTGCACCAACTGACTAGGCCCTGCACATCACATTCTTACCACACTGCATTTTAATTTCATATAGATAATTAAATCAAATGATAAGAACCAAAAACAACAAGGCTTTACTGCTGTATCAATGAAGCTACAGGGTGTGGTTGGGTGGAGAGAATAGTCCTTGGTAAGCAACTGGATTTTAAGTCCTCCTTGATTGAACCAACCTGCCAGAACTACTCTTATGTAATTGCAAACATTTGTTATACAGCGCATACTGCTGATTTCAAGTATCAACACCAACCTTCTTGCCTGGCCTGTCTTTTTATTTCTGCATAGCCATGTTATTTGTTAATATTGTGTTTTTAATTACTAACATACTAACACTGTATGCGATTATATTTTCATATTTATATATATATATCATACAACATATTATATATCATAAAGTTCATTTAATATATATTAGCAATGACACCTTGATAGATAGGTACTAAAGACAGAAAAACTGAATTACCAAAAATCTCTTAAGTTGATCAAAAATGTATTTTTTCCAGATTTATTTTCGAAATATTTTTAATTTTTACATTTTCAATAAAAAATTAATACGGTATCTATAGGCCATAGCGATTTCATGTCTCAAAGTAGTCCTATAGTTTTACGACTTGGGAACACAATTACCTTGCATATTGAAGACAGTCTTTACAATACTTAACTCGATCCACTTCAAAGTAAAACTCTCGTCAGTTAACTCACGTGCACCTAAATTAAAGAAGCTTACACTTTTGCAAGAAAGTGTCCTTAGAAAATTATTGTAAAAGATAGGCCTACTCACAAATTTTCCCCAGCCTTTGAACTCGTTCTTAATAGATAGGCTTTCGCATTCCTGATTTCATCCTCAAGCTCTTTGTCAATAAAATTTTCTGTTTGCACCAGCTCCTCCATTATTTCTCAAAAATTTTATTTGATTATATTCAACGTCCTGCCTGAAACTCTAAGATTGCAAAATGGCGTCTTTCTGAATTTACCTATATTATTGCTATGGTGACAGCAGCTCCATCGCAGGGTTGGGTTGCTCCGTGAACTTCGTGGCAAACAAGGTGTCTACAAAAAAGGAAGCCTTGCACATCAAAATCTAGGATTGTGGTTACTATATTCAGTAAAGAGGGCAAAAGAAGAAGACGAAGAAGAAAAACCATTTCTTGAAGATTAAATTAAATTCAATCAGGGTTAATTTCACAAGGAGCTCGTGCTTTGTTTACCAGTGGCGGGGTGGCTATGTTTTCCCTGGGGTGGCCATGTTTTCCGTGGGGTGGCCAAGTCGATTTTTCGCCCTATCTATAAATCGTGGCGATATAAAAGCATGTGTTTCTAGAAGGGAAATCGATTTTTGCAACTGGAATCCAAAATATCATGAATAGGTTTTGACTCAAAATGCGAGTATGAATGTAAAAATTATGTAATCCTAACATTTGACCTTCTTGATCGTGGTTCGGTAAAATATCAAGCAATTTTTTGAATTTGCTTTTTTTCGAGAGTCGGCCTATTTTCGAGGAAATACGGTAGGCAAAACATTGAATACTGATCAAGAGACATTCTATTCAATTGCACTGATGTTTCATAGAGGCTGGCGGCCCCTTGAACTCGTTTATTATATCCAAAATACCAGCTTCAGAGTAAAATAACGTGGAGCAAATTTTGGTTTCGGGCTCCTCAGTTTTTTAACTAAAGGAAACCTTAGTCCATTTCGCCACTGCTTGTGGGCGATTTTATCAGCCTAGTGTCATTGTATATATGATGTATGATATACAAACAGCAAAGTGCCCTTTTTCAAGAAATTGATTTCCGAGCAATACTGATTCATATAGATATTTTGAATGCTAATAAAATCTAGGTTTCAAGCATCTCTTGATTGTCTACATGCAAAACACAAGCATGTAGCTATTAATGATGCCTACATGCAAGACAAAAGTCAATATTATCCATCTTGATGAGAACTGAAAATCGCTTGACAAAGCAATTTGACCAACAGAAATCGTTTCGTTGATTAGATCTCTTAAACTTTCATGATTATGCTGAACTGATTTCAAATTGCTAACAACGTTGGCTCGCATATGTTCGACATATCAGTCAAGTCTTGACTTCAAAGAAAAGCGTAGGAACCGGGGGAACAGTGGGCACGTACCCTCTTTTTCCAAAATTCAGTTTACCTGCCCCTTTGCAGCCCCCCGAGTTGCTCTTTTTCGTTGGTTAGTTCCACCTGAGGGATTTTTAATTAGCTATAAAACAATAGAATGACTGCGTCGCGAACTCCGAGATGGGCGATACCAAATAGGTACAACATAGGCCTTTCCTCTCATGCAGTTTGATTTTCCCTAATCGGGCTGGCTCGTTTGCCATAAAAATAGAACACAAAAAATAAATAATCGTTTGCCTTAGAAAAATAAAACATGATTTTCTCCGTAAAAACAGGCCGTAAGGCATCGAGATAAAAAATCCGGTTACAAGCATATCTTCCATTGATACATTGGCTCGAAAAGCTTACGATGCTCAAAGCAAATGAATTTTTGCGAACCATTTCAACTTAATGTCACCCTTCAGGTGATATTATTGGAATTACCAAGGACACACCCATCTCGGTTATCAAGGATTGCTACTTAATTAGGTTGCATGTTTTGCTAGATATTAACTTCCACCAGGTGCTGCTCGGATTAGGGCTGCCTTTGGCGCACGCTTTTTAATGGTATTTTTTAAAAGCGCAAATCTAGTATGGAAACCTTGACAGCCAGAGAGTCTAAAAATCAGACTTGTACAAAAAATGACACTAATCCTAAGAATCAGGGCTTGGAGATGTGAGCTAGGTTTTAGCTAAATAATCAAGGTTTAACGGACCCTTAAAAATGATGTTGGTTATTGGTATAGAATATCACAAAGATATTCAAAAGACATTACTGGTCATTTTAGCATCATCATCATCAGTAACGGAAGGGTCAAGGCTGACCCGCCGTGGCACACGCAATGGTTGTCCGCCAAGTGTCCCTGTCTTGCGCCTTCCGAAGCAGCTCGGCCATGGTCATTCCCAGTAAATCTTCCACATCGTTCTCCAGTTTCCTTCGTGGTCTTCCTCGTTTCCTCTTTCCGTCCACCATTCCCGAAAGAATGTCATTTCCCAAGCCTTTACTTCTCGCAACATGGCCAATAAAAGATAACTTCCTTTTGTTGATGCTGTTTATGAGGGTTGCTTGGCCGATCCTTTCCAGGACCCATTCGTTCGTTTTCCTTTCTCTCCAATTTATACGCATAATTCTTCTGTAACACCATATCTCGAAGGACGTCAGTCTGTTCCTGTCACACTTCTTGAGGACCCAACATTCACATCCATAAGTTGCTACAGGGAATACTAGCGTATGGAGGATTCGGATTTTTGATTGGAGTGTGATTGAGCGGTCTTTCCAAATGTTGCTGAGGCTTACTACTGCACTTCTTGCTATGGCCAACCTTCTTCTGATTTCTTTGCTGTCATTGCAATCGTTAGTAAAGTTTGCACCGAGATAAATAAAATTATCCACTGTTTCAATGACTTCGCCGTTAACAGCAAGATCTCGCATTTCCATGTTGTCTGGATCACCAGCCATCTTCATGACTTTCGTCTTCTGCGTGTTTAGCATCAGTCCTGCCTGCTCGCTTGCTACTTTGACTTTTGTGACGAGGTCTTCCAGCTCTTGCATGGATCCAGCAATAAGGACAATGTCATCAGCGTACCTAAGGTTACTGACGGTTCTTCCTCCCACTTTTATGGATCCCTTGAATCCGTCTAGAGCTTCTCGCATAATTTTCTCAGAGTAGACATTAAAAAGATGCGGCGACAGTTTACAACCTTGGCGGACTCCTTGACCGATGTTGAAGAAATCTGTCATGCCATAAGTGGTTCTTACAACTGCTTTCTGGTTGTCATAAAGATCTTTTATGAGATGGATGATGTGCGTTGGAAAGCCCATCTCAAACAGTGCTTTCCACAGTGTTTCGTGGTCGACTGTATCAAATGCCTTCCAGTAGTCTATGAAGCACATATACAGGTTATGGCACCGCTCTCTGTGTTTTTCCATGATCAGCTTCAAGTTTAGAATTTGATCTCGTGTGCCTTTGTTTGCACGAAATCCACATTGTTCATCTGCAATTTCTTCATCTAGTTTACCTTTCAGACGACCGGCTATAACTTTTAAAAGGATCTTGCTGCAATGGCTGATTAAAGATATTGTTCTGTTGTTACTGCATTCTAAAACGTCTCCTTTCTTTGGGATGGGTACAAAAACTGATGTAATCCAATCCTCTGGCCATTTTCTATCTTTCCAGATCTTTTTGCAGAGAACATGGAAAAACTCGACGACATTCTCTCCACCGTTCTTAACAAGTTCCGCGGCCACTTCGTCGATACCTGTGCTTTTGTTGTTTTTCAAATCATTTATGGCTTTCTGGATTTCACTCCGCAGAGGGGGCGGTTCTTCTTCGGTTTGGTCGAACGCAAAGTTGTCGTGTGCTAAGTTGTCATTAATTTTATACAGATCTTCGCAATATGACTTCCATCTTTCTTTGACATCATCTCCATTGCACAAAGCATTACCGTTTTCATCTTTTATTGTGTCAATGGCTGGTTTGAACTTTTTGGTCAGATCTTTGATTCCTCGATACAGATCTCTGGTTGAATTAGTTAAGGAGTTTTCTTCAATTTTCTTACAGACTCTGTCTATTTGCTGATTTTTGTCTTTTCTCATCATTCTTTGTACTGTTGCATTTTGTTTTTTGTATTCGTCGGTTGTTCCTTTCAGACATCTTCGTTTCTCGATTTCTGCTCTTGTTTCTTCTGAGATCCAATCATTTTTTATCTTTTTTCGCTTTTGGATAGTTTGCTTTGCAACTTCGACTAGACATTCCTTGCCTAACTTCCAGAAGTCGTTAGGGGGAATTTCTTCAGTTTCACACTCTAGCAGGGATTCGAATTTGTTGTTAATGTCAATCTTGTACTTTTCGCCTAGAGTGGAGAAATCTAGACGTAGCGTTGGTGGTGGTTGATCTAATTTCTTCAGTCGCATTCGGATCCTGGCGGACAGAAGTTGGTGATCACTGTTGCAGTCGGCTCCTGGTAGAGTTCTTGCATCTTTCAGGCAGCTTTTCCACTTCTGTTCGATCATGATGTAGTCGATTTGATTTCTGATCGTTCTGTCAGGCGATGTCCAAGTGTACAGTCTTCTTGGATGCTGATCAAAAAGCGTGTTGGCTACGACAAGATTGTTTACTTTACAGAAGTCGATGAGAGTTTCTCCTCTTTCGTTTCTGATGCCAAGTCCACAAGTTCCGTGAGTTGGTGTGGATTTTAGCATACCTATTAAATAATTGCTGAAGCACTCACGCGAATGTTTCTTGAAAAAGTAAAATAAATGTTGAAATTTTGGTTCTAGCTTTAGGATACTTTTAGTGCTGTATTTAGATTTCATTACATCAGACTTTGTGAATCTAATAAGAAGATGAAAGCAGTTGCAAGAAAACAAAGCAAAATTGTAAATCAATTGTTGAACTTCCTTCTTTTGCAAGGAAACTTAAAATTCACACACCTTCAAAAATATTTACAATGCTTATTCTCTTAAATTCTATAAAACTACAACTTACTTCTACCACAATTTACCTGCTCCTTACGAATTAGATTCTACCACAAATTGGTTGCACTCTATTTCGCGTGTTCATATTTTTACTTAAATAAAGATTGCAATAACAGTTGTCTTTAAAAGCAAATTAGCAAGGAAGTGGACGCAAGAAGATATACTTGACAAGGTCGAAATATTAAAGCCTCACTTGGCTCTCAATTTTAGGGTATCTTGAAAAACACTCAGAATCGAGGCTCCGAGTTGCTCTAGACAAATCGGGTTCCAAGACGCTGCTATTCTTGCTACCCCATTATAAAAGAGATCTCTAATAGCCAAAATTACTCTGGATGAATCAGTCAGGGACGCAAATTGGGGGTTAAGGGGGGATTTGGTCAGTGGTCAGGAGGCCATCAGAGCCAAGCAAGAGGCCTTGAAACTCACATTTTTCGAGGGAGCATGCCCCCGAACCTTTCTTGCATAGTGTATCTTCAGGACTTGTGTGCCCCATTAGTGCTGTATCTTCCATACAAGAGACTGCTCTTAAAGAACATTTACAGCAAAACAAAGATAATTATTTCATCTGGTATCTTTAGGTACCCCTAAAAAGTACAAAAAGGCCACTACATTTCCAAAGAGAATGGGTTCCCCAATTTTTCAAAGTGCGATGTCTCTTGCCATTTCCTCAAACGTATTCTTTTTACATTTTAATTGTATTTATCTGCTTAGATTGGTTTTTAGGGGTCGGTCCATTTCGTAAGCGAGTCGTTCATGCCTGTCCTGACACCCACTCTCCTCCAAAAAAAATTAATTTGCGCCCCTCAAAACAGTTTGCACCTTTTACTATTCGCCTGTGTTTAGCATTGTGATATTTCTAGCGAAAGTACAGTTGTTGCGTCATCACTAAATGAAAGTTCATAGTCGTGCGAGCTCATCGAGGTGTTGTTGGTAAAATTTCATGCAAAATTATATGAAAAAGATAATCAAAAAGAACTAAATGGACCGAAACTCAGTTAAGCACATCATGTGACGAAACATTGTTAATCCTTAAACACAATTTGTGTTACGGGAACTAACAAAACGACACTACTTTAAACAACAATTTTCAATTAACAGGAAAAACGAAAATTTTCGTTGCTGATTTGAAAGACGAACGAGTGTCAATTATCCAGCTGCTTTGCTGCTACTGACGTTATCGAAATATTTTAAATAAATAGCTGACCTGAACGGCATATTATTCTAACGGAAGAATACGTTAATGCATTGAACAGATTCGTTTACTAGGGCCCATTCTTCGAATAGAACTAGAAACTGGCCAAACAAAAGCTGTTAGAATGTCACGTGAGCAGAATTTGTCTCAACGCAGGCGAAGATCGGAATATTCTTTAACCATCTTTCAAAATTTCTCAATATACTAAAGTACTTTGCAATGGTTCGTGAAACACCCACCCCTACTGATTAAAGATCTGTTCGCGGCATAAAGTAAAACTTGTAACAATGTTCGAAGAATCGTACTTCATGTTAAACTATACAAAAATATTTTTTTCCGGCTGGTTTCAAAAGAAAAAGGCAACTGCCATTGTTCAAGAATAAGCGAAAGCTACCTGGCTTTGAATTTGAAAAATTTATATGTAACTTGTAAAATTCACGATTTATTCGCAAGCTTTACTTCAACTAATCTAACGATGGCATCAGAATACTGTTCCAATAGGCCAACAACTTGCTTCGTTTTATCAACAGTAGAACTAGGGCTCTCCTCCATATTTCTAATTGACGATGCAACCTGCTTGGCCTGTATGTCGATTCCAGCATCAGTAATAGCAACAGAAACATTTGTGAGGTTCCTTTGTTGCTTTGTCAAAACGTTAGCAACTGTACAATAAGTGCTCGAGAGCATATTTACAATTTCATCCTTATTTTTCACGTCTCCACTTTTGAACACCTGGAAAATCATAAAATTAAATTACAAAGATATAAAAGTTAATCATAAAATAATAATGCCTTCTTAAAACGAAATAAAAAAAATCTTGCAATCGTTAGTTTGCCATCACATTTTGCAGCATGGCTCTCTCGGGGCATATTTACAGAATGAAATGGTCTACAGCTAACATCAACGCACGATCGGGGGCAAAGAGTAGAACGTTTGTACCTTTTCTTGAAAACTTGATATTGCATCAAAGGATGCCAACAAGTGACTGACAGCTGCTTGACATTCTGTTATTAGCAATGCTAAAAACAAAAGCAAATTATCATATATAATTACGAAAATATTGACTGACACAAGATGTTAAAAAATTATCAGAACCTGCACACGAAATGGTGAAAGCAGCATTTTGGGTAATTAGGCATCACTGTATTCTGTCTGTACTTGTTTTGAAACATACGATACTCGTGTTGAAACAGATCCGTTTGGATGACAGGGGCAAATAGAATGGAAAATGCAGGACAAAGGAAGAAAAATACAAATAGCAAGGTAAAAAAGAAAGGGTAACATTTGCGGCAGCTTCTGTCGGCGAAGGAACAGCGTTTGTGGCGTTTTCATCTAACAAAAGGCTGGTTTTCATCATAAAAAGCGAAGACAATACCCAAATAAGAGACAATCATTTCACGACGCAAAATAATCATACCATCTGCAAAAGGTAGACAGCAAAAAATGGAAAATATACCAACTACAAAATAAGAAGAAATATACAAATAATAGCTAAAAGCAAAATAACTCAGTACCCCCAGTCTCCGTCGGAGTTGAAGATGATGGTTCATCTGAAGCTGTCTCTATCTATGGACAAAATAACACAAAAATAAGTAAATAAAAAGCGGCTAAATACAAAGTAGATAACAATCAATAAGCTAACCGATACATAAATATCTGCTCTACATTAAATTTGATTGCCATCTTCACGTTTGTTACCAATTTGCTTAAGATAGTCGTTTTGTTCCTGAAGCAGCTGTGTCGTTTAAAAAAGAAAATGATTAACCTTTTCATTATCGTGTTTCGGTTTCGCTTCCTCGTTTGCTTCGCCTTCCTCTCTTTGTGGCTCTTCTCTGGCAGGAGCAACTTCTTTGCTTCTGACAACAAGCTTCACGTTTAACGTTGCTTGGTTCTCTGAAGTACACGTTGTAGTGCCGGCATGAGCCTCAATACACCCCACACGATCTTGCGAAGGCGCTTCATTTGCTACTTCCATGTTCTTTCCATCATTGAAAATCACTGTGTTATCTAAAGTTGATTTCCTTGCAGAGCTTTCTAGACTGTCATCAGCCTCTATTTCTATCGGCCGGACGATAACCGATGCCTTATTTGAGTTAACTTTGCTTTGAGAAGATTCTGCGTATTTACCAGGCTTCTCATCATCCACACGGGTATGTGCTTTCTTTTTGCTCTCTAGTTTACAGTCATCATTCAACTCAGAGTCAGAATTAGTTTTGCTGCAGTGGACTTCAATCAATTCATCGAGAGACGTTTGTAAAGGTAAAACAAGAGACTTTGGACGGCTTCGAAACCTTGGTCGATCATCAGCCTTAGGTCTTCTTTTAACAGCCATTTCTTTCATCGAGTTGGCTGGAATGCCTTCATGCGTTTTATCTTCCTTCAACTGGTTCCAGCTTTGTTTCAATTTCGTTGGAGAAGAGACAGGGGAGACCCCAGGACTGCTTCTTTGCTTATATGATTTGATAGGCTTACCCACTTGGCTAAAAGGAAGGTCTAGTTTATGTTTCGGGGTACTGCTTCTTAGGTTGAACAAATTTATCAACTCAGATGCAGATTTTTCATGCTCTGCTGAAGAAGTACTGCTGGCTCTCAAATACTTTACCCGGTCCCTTGATTGGAAATCGTCCTCTGGAATCTTTTTTTCTTTAATCACACGTAGCTCACTGCTGCTGTCAGCCGAAATCCCAGAGCCTCTCCGATGATTTGTCTTGCGACCCGTTTTGCTTTGAGGTGCGATCTGGAAGAGATACCATTAAAGAACAAATTCAACAACTAAAAGAACATTCAGTCGCCTACTGGCACAGAGCAAAGCAAATTCAGTGCATTTATTTTGACATACACCAGTTAAGTTTTTTCATTGTCAGTTTTACATAGTCTTCTGTTAATTTTTAATCCTTCCATCACTTTGTTGTACATAATATTTAAAAATCGTTAAACTGGTTTCATGATTTGATCTAATAAACAGCTTTTAAATCAAATGTTTTTATCAGGGTTTTCTTGCAAACCAGCTTATGTTGAAGGACAGCCCTCCTGAAAAGAATAACAAATGAAATAGAAACATAAAAAAATATGACACAGAAAACTTTGCTTTCTGAAATAGAAGGAAAATCGATTTTGAGCCATGGAATTCATTGTAGCAAAAAGCCAAAAGAAGATTGAATGGACAATACGACAACAACAAAAAGCAGCAACAAAATACAGGCAAAATCAGCTAAAAATTGGCTTTGGTGTTTGCTTGAGGTACACACATGCTCCTCTTGCTAGTTTTTATCTACTAAGAATAATGTCTAGCAAGTGTTTGTGACATTTCATCTGATAACATTTTATTCAATAAGCTGCTCACCCCGATGGAAAGATTCGGTTCTGACTGGGCCATTAGCTTTTTCATCCTTTGAGCCTCTTTTGAGTTGCCTGCGCGTAAACCTGATGATCCATAGTTTTGATTTTGGTCCATTACCCTTTTAAGCTACAATTAAGATAATCAAGAATTATAGTTGGATAGATTGAAATTTTGTTTAACCGGGTTACACTAATGGTTCCATAATATTTGCTTTCAACATCCACTCTTCAGTAAGCCAATAAACCAAACAAACCTTCTGGAGAACGGCTGTCGTCTAGTTATTATCTTGGGCAAACCTAATTTCCATATGAAATTAAACATTGTATGGAAATTGAATAGAGTACTGTGTAGATATTAAATATAAAAATACAAATTGAACATGAATTAATTCAATATACGACAAAGCTAATGAGTTAAGAAACAAAGAAAGTTATTCAAAGGAGCGACATGGTTCAGGTAGCTCACCATATCAATACGTTTTTTCTGATCTTCTGAAATTTGAGAATTCTTCCTGACGTAAAAAGAAAGAAGAACATTTTAATAAAAAAGAAATAAAAACTCTAAATACGCTACGAATACGTCTTCTAAATAATAAAACAAAATTGACTTTTATAGCAACGTCTAGATGACTCTTGAAATCATTGATACGGGTACATAAGACGGATATACTGTCGTTTCATACAAATGAATCAATGATGAAGTAAAACAACAGATGCATTAGAAAACATCTGATACAAATAAGATCAATTTCAGATCCAGATCTAAACCATTATGAAGAAAATGACGAATGCCATCCAATTATAAAAGCTCATTTTTCTTTAAAACTCTCACAAACTTGTTCAAAAGACAAATGCTGCGTGACATAAAACTAGATTCAAAAGACAAATGCTGCGTGACATAAAACTAGATTCAAAAAACCAGTCGATTGGAGAGGCCCAAATGAGGACTATCAGACTTGATGAAAAACGGTGAAATAGGGTTGTCATTTTTTTGAAAAGTAAATTGATGAAAAAAGAGAATCTTACCCTGTCTTCTGTGATCTGGATAGAAATTTTGCAGAAATACTTGAACGACATCTACTCAAAAAGCCTTGACCTTTCTTCTGCTTCTGTTCGCTCCCAGGACTAGAATTAACCTGATATAGCTCTTCCTTAGCATCAGCCTCGTTTGGCATGTCTTCAGCCAAATAATCGAAATGCTGCTCAAGCAGCGACAGGAGCAACTCATCATCCCCGCCTTCAGGCGCGTGGTCCGAAAGAAAATCATCACTGTCTGTTAACTCTTCGCCATCTTCGTCCTCATCCTCTTCCTCGTCCATGGAATCCAAATCCACTTCATTTGCCTCGTTATCTAAAATAGAATGCAGGATAAATTAGAGCATCCAAAATGCCAAACAGATAATCGAGGAATTTGGCTTATTGTCAGCAGTGGCTATTGCCAAGAACAACAAAACATAGTATTTAGTCCTAGAATTATAAATACGAAAAATACACTTAGCAAAATACCTTTAATGTTATCAGTTCCCAAACTCTTCGACTGCTACAACAGAAACAAAGATTTGCAATCACATTAGTTTTGTTCATTTTTTCTATTGATATTTTATAAAATAGACCAACTAATATAATCAAAAAACATCCTGTTGAGATTGTTTACGGGCCAGTCAGAAGATCCATTTACCGAATCACATTTCAACATACAAGATTTATGCAACGGAACAAAACCAACACCCGTTTGGATGCCCTCAAATGAATCAAAGATAATTGCTTGAAACTTGAAGGAGTTGTAAAGTCATTGTTAAATTGAGGAATTTCTAACTTTTTATTTCAAAACGAATCTTCCTTCAAAGCAGAAAGTTTTTATGATAAGTCGTTGGCTGTAGAAGAAACATTTTCTTTGGAAAAAATATATCTGATCTGAAAAGAGATTAAAACGTAATTGGTCATATTCTGAGTATTGTTTCCTCCTCTGTTAATTGGCTTCTTTATTAAACTAATAAATGAAACTAATTGGATGTACCAAAATGATGAGATCATATACGTGTATGAAAAAAAACCTCTCTCGTGGTCTCAACAAAACGTCTTAACGTGGATGCTGACTGTTAGGAGAAAAGCTGTCTATTTCCTTCAAATAATGAAAAAACTTTTAAAATTTAACTATTAAAAAAGCAAGAAACAAACAAGGAGTTTTGCTTTAGCACAGAGTTGGTTTTGCTCTCTTCAGGCCTATCCTTATAGACTGGACCACCAAGCTAGATACAGCTTTTAGAACACAAGATACACGAATATATAAAAAACTGGTTCATAGGCTCTGCGAAATCAAGACCCAAGTCACGATAAATTTTGCATGATCGCCCCCGAGCGATCAAAGACGCAAAAGACATCATATTTAACTTACTCCAAGGTCCTTAATAGAAGGGGTGACGCTTATTAATTTTTGATTTTTTTCTGACCCCCCCCGGAGCTTATTTGGGCCCCCCGTTTATTAATTTTTATATGCAGTCATTCATATCCCTTATTTCATTTGTCCTTTGATCTTGCAGGTGTTAAATTTCTGTAAAGTTTCTCTTAAATGAAGAGGTTGCATTGTACAAAAGTTTTAACATAGAAAAGTAGTGATATCCTAAAAAAATTACATAGGCCTGACTGATGTACACAATAATAATTAGTTTGCTCATTTTAGTAATACAACAATACATTATTACATGGTGATAATTGTCATTTTGCTATCGAATGTATTCAGAAGAAAATCTCTTTGACCCCAAAAAAGAATCATAGCGTGATTTTTCAGATTTTTCACATTTCCGACCCCCCCCCCCTTACTAAGACCCCCCGCTTATTCATTTTTTGAAAAATTTCTGACCCCCCCCCCAACTATCAAGACCCCCCTTCTATTAAGGACCTTAGAGTACAAGAGGGAAAAATGCATCGCAGAGTACTTGCCTCGTAAAGACTGTTTTTTAAAGTGTCATCTGAGCTCTTCTTGCGTCTCAAAGACGCCCTTGCCGTTACCTGAAAACTAAAGAAGCCAAGAAGGTATCATTGGCAACATAAAAGAACATAAAGAGAGTGTTGAAAGCAAAAAACACATCAAGTAACATGACAGCAGCTACGATATTGCCAGGAAAGGGCGTGAAACATGATACAAAAGGTCAATTGTATCAATGCAATTTCGTAGACTGAAAGAGACTATCAGCAACGACTCGTGATGTTTCAAGGTAAATTGAACACTGTTGAAACTATCAACAACGATTTATGATATGTCAAGTTAGCTTGCAGGCTGGATGCACTGCAAGCAAGCAGGCAAGACTGTAGTACATGAGAGCAGTTAATGATACTTGAAACTAAGATGCAGACTGAAAAAGAGTAGTAATGCAAAGTAGCAGGCAAAGTAGCAGGTATTGTTTGGTACATCAAGCAAAATTTCAAATTGAAAAAGACTCAACGAAATAGTTCGAAATACGTAAAGCCAGATGGGGAGCCTGGAAAATGGTTTGCGATATGCAAAGGTAAGTCACAGAATAAAAAGGATGGATAGAAATGGCTTGTGATAAGCAAAGGTAAGTTACAGACTGAAAAGGACAGATAAAAATGATTTGTGGTGTGCAAAGGTAAGTTTCAAATTGAAAAGGACTGATAAAAATGGTTTGGAGTACGTAAAAATCTTACGTACCCCAAACCTTTAAAAATTTTACGTTGTCAACAATTTCTTTAAACAAGACCCTTATTGATAGCAGTATTTTACATGTACTGAAAAGGCCTATCCTGTATAATTATGTATCATTATTATATAATTATTATTATTAAGTGAGTTGCATACTCAAAAAGACGATACATCGCTATTAAGATATATATATATCGCAATTTATTGTTCAAAACACGATAATAAAAATCACTTTTGCATGTTCAAAGTTGTTTAGGAAATGGATACGGAATTGTTCTATGACTTAGATAAATGACTTCAATTTGAATGTTAATCTAGTTTACTGGAATGAGAAGCCATTATTAACAAAACTTTACAGGATCGAATGAATATCAAACATTTTGTGGATAGCCACAGATCAGTCATTTGATTATCTAGTCAAATCAGCATTTTTTAGAATATCTAGATTTGTAATACCTTATAAGTATCTAGGATATCATAATGACAGGTGGAATTTTTAAAACATTAAACTATTATTAAAAATTTACGTTTACCGTACTTTTTACTTTGATCCTCCAATGATTCGCCATATCCATTGTTAATATTAAATTTTTCATTTAAGATTTTCTCTTCTGCCTCCATGCTCACAAAGTGCACTTCAAACAGTTGGTTACTCTCGCTACATTTACTGTTAGCAACTGTTATATTATTGGCTAGGCTCTTTAATTCCGTATTATGCTTATTTGTATTAGTGACTTTATCAACAGATAGTGATGGCAGACTGGCTCTCCTCATCAAGAATGCCTCGCCCATTGATCCTGTCGTGTTTCGCCTCATGTTATGATGTAAGGGCCTTCCACATCCAACTGTAAACAGCACTTTCTTCATTTGTCCGGGAGATTTAACAGGCTCCCCCTCTTTACTCGCACGTCTAAGAGTTTTTGGGCTTTCAACTGTGTTACTTTTAGAACCTATATACTTGCTAGTACTGGGTGACTTTCTTATAATCTTTCTCTTTATTTTGGCTATCGACGATAAGGTACCTTTTCGGATATCTTCTTCATTTGAGTTCAGGTTTTTGACCTTTCTCAATGATGAAGTGGGTAAGCTTGAAACAAACAAACGCAAAAATATTGAAAAACTATGAACACAGACACACTGCAATAAAGACAATGATTGACAGGTTACAAACAAAACATGAACGTTACATGTAAAATTGCAAGATAAAAAGTTCCAGAAAATCAATGCAGTGGAGCAAAATTCAAAATAGACAAACAAAGGGAAGAATTTCTTTTTTTATAGATCAAATTGCTAAAAATTTCACGTTTTTAACAGCTAATTTGTACCTAATTTGTATGATAACATCTTGTTGGAATAAATGCTCCCGGGTTTATTCCCAGAAAATGCACGAACATGCTGAGCTTTGGTTCAAAACTTTCAGCAGAATCATTTACTTAATTAATATTTTGTGATTTATATCTTGAATCTGTATGTGTTTAGAGACAGCTTTAAAGGATGGGAGAATTTAGGAAAAGTTGAACAGAATTATTTTACAGTTATCCTCAAGTAATTTTGAAGACCTTCAGCTGTTTAAGAGAGCTGTTTAAGAGGGCTGTTTAAGAGAGCTGTTTAAGAGGGCTGTTTAAGAGGGCTGTTTAAGAGAGCTGTTTAAGAGAGCTGTTTAAGAGAGCTGTTTAAGAGTGTTGTTTAAGAGAGCTGTTTAAGAGGGCTGTTTAAGAGGGATGTTTAAGAGGGATGTTTAAGAGGGCTGTTTAAGAGGGCTGTTTAAGAGGGCTGTTTAAGAGAGCTGTTTAAGAGAGATGTTTAAGAGAGCTGTTTAAGAGAGCTGTTTAAGAGGGCTGTTTAAGAGAGCTGTTTAAGAGTGTTGTTTAAGAGAGCTGTTTAAGAGAGCTGTTTAAGAGAGCTGTTTAAGAGGGCTGTTTAAGAGAGCTGTTTAAGAGTGTTGTTTAAGAGGGCTGTTTAAGAGGGCTGTTTAAGAGGGCTGTTTAAGAGAGCTGTTTAAGAGAGCTGTTTAAGAGTGTTGTTTAAGAGAGCTGTTTAAGAGAGCTGTTTAAGAGTGTTGTTTAAGAAGAGAGCTGTTTAAGAGAGCTGTTTAAGAGTTTAAGAGGGCTGTTTAAGAGGGCTGTTTAAGAGGGCTGCTTTAGGAGAGCTGCTTTAAAGAACTCTAGATATTACTTTAAAAGTTTACCGATACATTATAATAAAACTTATCAGCTCTCTTTCAAAAATTATTTTAAGTCGCCGTCGGGATACCATAAAATTATGATTTTAGCAAATTACGTTACAAACTAAGTAACTGAGTTAAAATGACTGATATTTAGGAATATCAATTCACAAAGTAACTTTATCGCATTCGCTTTAACAAAAATTTTACTAAAATAATTTATTTGAACCATCTATTATTTAAATATTTATCAAACTTTACCAAATTTAGGCAAAAATACTAAGCTATAACAATTATCATGAAACTCTAAAAGGGTATCTTAAGCTGTAAAAACTCATCAAATAAATACTGATAACAGCCAATAAACATAACTGCAAAAATAAAAATCTCTTACTGCTTAAGATATCCACAAAACTTGCATTACATTTAGGACTTGCGATTATAAAATCAAGTTTATCCTTAGGAAGACTGTCAACAGATATCTTTACTTGCTTTGGCCTCTTGATCAAATTCAGTTTCTTTGGCAATTCCTGCAGCCTCTTTCTTGGGCTTTCAAAAATGTTATTTATCAATTCCCTCACAGTTTCATGTAAAGATTTACATTTTTCTGTCAATTTATCGTCACTGTTTAATCGATTTGCTAGATCATCTGCAATTTTATCAGCATCTAACGAAACTATGTTTATCTCTACGAAGTTGTTAAGCATTTCATATTTTTCGCTTAGTTTAGGCCCAAGCTCACTTGCAATGTTCATGCAGTTTCCTGCAGCCACAGAGTTATAGCGTAACCATGAAACAGTCCCGCTAGCCGTCGCTTTCACATTTTGCTTTTCTGCAGTTTTGATACGGGACAAATGCTCAATTTTGCTTGAATTATCAAAGGCCACATCGTGTCCGTCGCCTTCTAGCTTTCCTAAACGTACAGGAGTCCTTTTTGCTGTGAAACCCTTATGATTCGCTTCCGAATCAAACGACGAAACATCAACTTTGTGAAGAGTAAAGAAAATATTATCTGAAGTATTTCCGTTGTTTTGGCAATTGGCGCTTGCTACTTTGCAAGGTATGGGTGGCTTAGATCTTTGTAATTCAGTGGTAACTTTATTACATTCATCAAACTCTAACCTTGCTGTTTCCGCTTCTGTTTCATCTTGATTCGACGGAATGTAGATAACACTCTCTGATTTGCGGGTCTTGACATCTTGGTGACTTGAATAGGGTGCCCCTCTTTGAAATGGTGATTCTTCGATAATATTTTTCGAATTTAGCGAAAGTAGAGGTTCGGTACAACCTGCAGTGAAATTCTGGATGTTCACATGAATAACAAAAAGTGGATAGGAATTAGCATTTTTAAAAAGAAAGAATGAAAAACATCAAAAGGCTCGCGCAATTTGATAGGTCGTTATGAGCATCTATTGAATAAAAATTATTGACGAGAAATTACTTGAATGAAAAAGAAAAACAAACTATCCTTGATGAGATGCAAAGTAGCTCCTTATCTTCGAAAGCGTTTTTATCTACTAAACTAAAGATTTGACCTAGGATCACGATGAATTTTTTCAATAAATATGACGTACCTTCCGCAGTTAGATCCAAATATGAAGCATTGCTGTCTGAGATAGTTGTCCCTATCGTATGTGGGACAAGGGCTGGAGCATCGTTTACCCTCTGAAGAAAATTAATCAAACTTTAAAAATAGAAGACAAAGGTAGGATATTACAGGTACGCAGGTAGCGAATCAAACAATTCACAAATAAACGAGCAACAGCAGTAGAGCTGCTTGCTGGCAGTAGGAAGATAAATTCTGGAAAACTCAACTGCTTAACTAAAGCTCTCTATAAAGAAGGCATGATTGACATAATTGAGACGTAAATAATCACCATCAGTTTTAAAGGGGAATCAAAACGGCAAGACAGGGAAACAAAGCCAAATGAAAGAAAACTAAGGGGCTGCATACCTGGGCCCACCTGCCTGATGGATGAGCGAACCCAGCTCCCTGATTAGCATCGGTATTTTCAGACCCTCCTTTGATCTATCAAAAATACAAATATGATTTAGCAGTGACGATAACAGTAACGAAGTTTCTAATAAAGAATTTAATCGAAATACGACAAGCTTTAAAATCGAAATGTTTCTCTACAAACCATACACCAAATGCTAAAAGAAGAAAATGATATCTGCAAAAGTCTTTCAAAAGTGAACAATTGAGTTTAATCAAATGAACCTGTTTTTGGGCCCAAGCTGGCAACTGTCCAACACTGAATCTGTAATCGAATTCTCCATCCAATTCCTTGTTACCTGTTCAAATATTAAATGAAACTGGTCAAATACTGTCTGAAACCAGACATCATCATCATCATCATCAGGTACCATCCTCTATCAGAAGGTTGGTTACCATGACCCTCCAATTATCCCTATCCTCAGAATATCAAAATCTGAGTTTTGGTTTGTTGTCATGGTCATAGATAAAACTAAGGGGCTAATAGTAGAGATGGGCCCCCAAAACTAGCCTACGCGCAGACCCGACTAGTTTTCCCAAAGATTAAATTAGTTCCATCACATCCCATTGTCACAGTTCCATCAAATTTTCCAATCAACTAAATATCCAGTCAACTAGATTCATCTCTGGGAAAACCAGTCGACCCCAGAACCACTCTTTCCAGGAGTTCTTCCGCCCGAAGCCGTTGACCCCTGGAGTCGTAGCTCATTCGCCCTCCTTCCCGGTCTCCCGCCGAGTTAGCCATTGGCCATCGCTCGTGGCCCTAAGCTAGGGAACCCTGCCAGGTGGTACCAGTCGGGTCAGGCTGGACCTGTAAGCTAGCGGAGGGAAGGGTCGCTTTAATTCCCCATCCATATCCTGTCGGAGCATGCCACTGCCCTGTACTAGACATAATACCATGTTATTCCAAATATTTCGCAAAAAAGAAACAATGGCATGTGAGGTTAACGAGCAAAATTGGCAAACTACCTTCTTTGTCAAAAAAATCTGGTTCTGCTGCAGAGAACTCTTCCTCTTCGATGACATCTTGTAAGTCGTCTTTACCAGGTTTAGGGATAACAAAGGTGTTGCGCAAAGCACTGAATGAAAAAAATTGTTCAACAATTATTCACTTGTTTATCTAAATGTCATTTAACAATCAAAAGAAAAAAGAACGACAAGTTGCTTACAAATAGAAATGTACCTCATTGGATCATTGTTGATGTTTGGATTGCCAAGGACGGGTTTTCCGAGATCCAAAAGGCGAGTTACAATTGCCTAAGGATAAAAAAAGCCGTCAAGGGTGGGGCCTGGAGCAGTATCCTGAAAATGAAAATCTTAAACATTGCCATCCATTTCAAGGTCCCTTTTGTGCATTAATAAGTCACTTGTGTGTATGGTTGTTTCCAATTGCATTTCACCATTACCTTATTCAGCATGTTAGTGAAACAGCTAGAGATGCTAGATAAGGCTGCTAGAGTGATGAAACTCTTAACTTCGGCTAGAAAATTATTTCCAAGGATGCCAGAGGGCGTCAATATCTATTACGTAGGAAATCCAAATAAGCATGCAAATAAACAACACTGAAATGCGAATAGTAAGGAAATCAATACCGTTTTATCAAAAGCAGTCCCCTAGGTGTTACGGCATATACTTACAAACGATAACTGAGATACATTTATGAATAAGAAAATTGAAAAAATTTACTTGCCTGAGTGAAAGAAGGCACAAGTCTCCAAACAAATATACAGCTGAAAAAATAATTGATGTGAAGTTAAAGAATATCAGTTTCCTTGCATCAGGCGAGAGAGATCCTTGCACAGGTACAAGATAGCTATAACGAATGGCGCATAGGGGCATCAAGATACATATTTTTTCGGAAAGATGAACACAATCAGGGTGTATGCGATAAGAAACGAAGAGCATTAAAAATATGTCATTGTCGACTAAGGTGACTTTTCAAGATGCGCTGAATTAGATCGACATTAAGCAAGTAATATTGAGATTCCTAGATGTAAAAATAAGAGCCTATATCATATATCAGTCTTATGCGGGTCATATCAGTGACAAAATAGGCAGAAGGAAAGTCCTGAAGCTTAAACTATTGATCACTAATAATAATAATAACTTTTCTATTAAACAGCTTTTTATGCGCTTTGCATCTCATTCTTATATTTATCAACGCATCATCTTCACTAAAATGAACGCAAAGAAGCACACCAGTATATGATACTATGAGTGGTTTGTTTGTAATAATATGAGCAATCAGAGTACTGGTGCATCTGCTTTTGAGACATGCTGGCTTAAATTCAACGCCCCCAACGTTTCTATGCATTGCTTTTTCAGGGGCTCACTATCTCTTAATCTATCAATGTTCAGATATCCTGCAATAATTATCAAACCATTCCATTGAAAAATATGGGGAAATAAACTTTCGGCTTTACCCATCAATTCTCTGAACAACAACAGTTATGACCCTGACAATAGGCAGCCATTGTTTATTGGAACGAAAAATGGAACGATAAATGACCCCGACGACAGACCCCATTGTTTATTGGAACGATAAATGGAACGATAAATGACACCTACAACAGGCAGCCATTGTTTATTGGAACGATAAATGGAACGATAAATGACCCCGACGACAGGCAGCCATTGTTTATTGGAACGATAAATGGAACGATAAATGACCCCTACAAAAGGCAGCCATTGTTTTTGGAACGATAAATGGAACGATAAATGACCCCTACAACAGGCAGCCATTGTTTATTGGAACGATAAATGGAACGATAAATGACCCCTACAAAAGGCAGCCATTGCTTTTGGAACGATAAATGGAACGATAAATGACCCCGACGACAGGCAGCCATTGTTTTTGGAACGATAAATGGAACGATAAATGACCCCTACAACAGGCAGCCATTGTTTATTGGAACGATAAATGGAACGATAAATGACCCCGACGACAGGCAGCCATTGTTTATTGGAACGATAAATGGAACGATAAATGTTCCCTTGATGTTACCACCTACTGACTGTTTCCTATAACTTTTTCACTGATCTGAAATAGATACATGCTTAGGAAATAGTTACATGCTAATAGCATAGTAGGCTTGCAATAGATCGGGATTCAGTTTCCGAAAGAATTCCACACGCAAGCTATCTCATTTAAACTAGATGGAAACTGTAAGAAAAATTGGGTTGACCAGTCTCTTTCCGATTCTATTTTCTTGAAGGGCAGTTTGTATCGCCACAAACCTGGTTACTAGAGATTTGCCATAGCAATAATATTCACAATCTAAGATAGTTTAATCCAAAATGAATGTCAGAAAAAAGTTAAAAAGGTGACCTACTGGTCGCCGGAAACTGAGATCAGCCTGGTTCCATCCGCCGTGAACTTTAGTCCCGTAACAAGTTCTATGTAATAAAACATTGCAAGATGTGTAGAAGATGCTTTGAGAAATAGTTGGAATTTTTCATTTAGAATGTTAGAAAAATAAATGCTGTTGGATCATGTAAAGGTCTTATTACATTTGAGTAAATATCATTTCTGTATTTCACTTTCTATATTACTGGAGGATCTAATGGGGGGTCCAACTAAAAATATTTCTTTCAAAAAAAGGAGTAGCACTTGAATTATTCAGCAACAGAATTTGTAAGGTTAGGTGCATAGCTAGTCGCCTACCTGAATGCCCATACATCACGGCGACGCATTCTCCCGCCTCAAAGTCATAAATGTTGACTGATTTATCTGAGCAGCTGGTCGCAGCGTACACCCCTGACGGATCCAATTGAATCTACAACGGCAAATGGACTTGTTGCACATTACAATTCATAAGGGTGCATATCAATGTCGAGACATACGAAGCAAGAATTACGGTAATCTAAAATGAAACACACACGCGCGCACAGAGCGAGGTTGTGCAAGCAACGTAAAGAGAAGAGATCCATACTTTTATCAGAGTGCCATCCTCACTGACGGCACCTTTGTAGCAGTGAGTCTGTTTGGCAGCCTGAATGTCATAGACCCTGGAAGAAATAGCATAACATTAAAATTGAAGCAAAGTGTCGTTTTCCCGGATAACAGACTCTGAAAGGACCAAAATGGCAAAACAATGAACAATTTCGCAAACTCTGGTAACCTTAGAAAAAATTACGAGGTACTATAGAAAGGGTTTGCTGTGAGGAATAAAATCCGCACAAATGACTACACGAGAAACGAATATTTTCAACATTTTTCTCTTGACATTGTGTTATGCTGTTCTCGTGTCATTCTTCACAAGAAACAACTAATGATTTAAAATATATTACTACAAATATATTTTAAGTAGACAGTATAGAACACAAAGAGCCCACTGATTTTCCTGGCAGATCAATTGAAAAAAGAACAAAGACAAAATAACATTTTCATTGCTTTTTACACACCTGACATTACGGTCCTGTCCACATGTGGTCGCCAACTTCCTAAATTTAGAAACATCAATTTTAAAGACAAGAAAAAAGTTTCATTTATATTTGGACGAGTAGGGGACAACATCAGATAAAAACTGTTTTAAACATTTTGGAGTTTTGATTTGAAGTCAAGAAATTAGTCATAATCATGCTTAATGGATAAATCCACAAGAAAAGAACAGGTTTAGCAGCAAAGTGAACAGTGGTTCATTCTCTAAAAAAAAGTCACTCAAACCTGGTAGGGTCTACATCCATGTCATATAGGGTTGCTTTTCCAATGGCGATGGTGTTTTCTCGCACGAACTGCATTGCTTTACCATCCTCAACCTGCCAAAGTAAGCCAATCCATGTAAGCAAATCATAACTGTACTTTGCTATCACAAGTACTAGAAATTTTCTACAAAGGTGTAAAAATAAAAAGAAGTCAGATTACTGTTAATAATTTAATCAAACAAAAGGAATACTACCTTTTGAGCAGTGTGGAGCATGATGTGTTTATCAGCACCGCAGCTCAGCAACTGGAAAACGCCTTCGTCGTCTGAAAAACAAAATTCGACTTTTCATTGTAAGCAAAAAAAGATGTTCGCTAGTGGCTACGTATATTACTAACAGTGAAGAATATAAAAAAGTTGCATCAACTCTCAATTATTAACGAAAATTTTTTTACCATGATAAATAAAACCTGAAGACAATCGGATGAGAAACTTACAGTTCATCCGCACTGCAGTTACTGAAGAGGCGTGGTCGTCAATCGTTTGAATCAACGCGAAATCTTTATCAATGTCGAAAATATGTATCAGCCTATCACGGCTTGAGGTCGCAAGGAGTCGGTAGCCTAAAAATATTAACAATCGGAACGTCACTAACAATGGGAAGGGCAACACGAGCTTCAATTAACTGCTTCCTTTTGTGAAATAAATGCTCCAAAGACACGGAACATTAAACTAAGGTAACATTATCAAATTAAACACAAACATTTTAAACAAGGAAGATATAAATCTCATTCTAAAAATTTCAGGAAATAAAAAAAATAAACATGTAAAGAGTCAGCATCAGTTCAACGAAAGCAAATTTAAAAGAAAACAAACATTTTCTGTTATCTTTGCTATGCAAATAATTAACATTTGTACCTGATTTCGGATCTGAAAACTCCACGCACAAGATTTCCGCTTCGTGGGCTTCAATTTTCATTATTTCGTCAACAAACTGCAAGTCATAAACCCTGCAAGCGAAAAAGAACAAGTTTAGCGAACTGTCACCTATTAAAATACAGTACCGATTTTCTCTTTCGGAGCACTTCTTCAATGGAGCTTTAAAAGATGTTTTTGACGGGAGCTCTGTAGCCTACTACTGTTCGTTTATAAAAATAGACAGAAAGCCAATAAAAGCAATTCTATTAGAAGTAGCTGATGTTTTATTTTCATTTCTTCAGAGTTGATGTTCATTTGCAACCTTTTCATGGCAGTTGTAAAAAGCATCAACGACACGATTTGAAATTGATTGCTTGCCTCAAATTGCCAGATCTATCGCCAGCAGCTAAGAGTTGTCCGTCCGGACTAATTTGAAGGCAGCGGACACCAGTTTTCATGTCTGAAGACGTGGTCACTACAAAACAAGAGGACAAGGGTGAAATATTTGAGTCGATGAATCCAAAAATAAAAAACCCAAATATTGAAAAATTCTTGTTTAACAAGTCAAAATATTTTCTATTTAATGAAAAAATTGTGGTTAAAAATTAGATGAAATATGTAAGATGCAGGATGTTAATTATCAGTAAAAAGAACGGATATGACTCTCTTAAGTAATTAAATCTGATACTAATTTATCATATTAAATTAGATATTTCACCACGAAATATAATCTATATATAAAGAGAAAATAAAAAGACAGAAAAATTGATTCACCTGGAATTGAAGAAATGTCTTGAATGTTGGCAAGATCCTCGTCAGTGTAAATGATTTTAAGCAGCTCCTGAACATGAAATATGAAACAACATTGGTAATCAATCAAAGAATGGTCAGACAAAATGAAGCGGACTTAGCCAAAATAAACATAAATGAATAAACTTTACTTTGCTGTAGATATTTCTTGGAAAGGTGCTGTTCATTGAAATTCCTGTAAAAAAAAATTAAGAAAAATCTTAGCGAAGTTCGTTATATGGCTACAAGATGATAACATAAAGCGTAGATCAGAGCCATTCAAACACGGCTGGCTGGACATATTCACTAACTAAAGCAAGCGACGAGGCCAGTGCGGAATCACGACGAAAAAAAGATGAAACACAGGACAACTACATTTCAACTATGATCAATGAAGAACTCACTTAACATGATAAAATGATAAACTATAATGATAAATTCACCTGTCTCGATGTTCCAGACCCTTATTGTATCATCAGAGGAGCAAGTTAAAAAGGATCCACTTGGAAGACAAGGGTGCAAATCCTCGCGCATTACAGGATACGTCTGAAGAGTGAATATTGCAATCTTACCATAAAACAAATCAAATATATCTTGATGTAATAATTTTTCTTGTTCACAAAGGTTGATTTGTCCAGTAAATAAAACTACTGTTATCAATCAAAGACCTCTAAAAGCATTCCAAAACTTTACCAAAACTTTACCAAAACCATCGATCAAAAACCACTGTGTCTGAAACCGTGTCAGAAAACCAAAACTGCTCTGAAAGTTTCAAGCGTTAAAAAATCTAAAATGATTGACAAGACGACGAATTTATAAGCGAAACTTCACATGGGCTTAGTATTCCTGAAAGGACGATGGTAGGAATATTGAGGGTATGAGGGTGTGAAGCAACTCCAGATGTTACTTCCAACCTAGTTACTTTCATATGTTACTTTCAAGAGGGTTTCTTTGGAATGGCCGTGCGAAAATTGTGGTACTCACCTCCACGCCCCAAATACAGGCGCTGTGATAGAGAAATGAACACGCTTTACCAACTTTTTTTACATCTTGAATGTCCCAGACGTAAAGACTGTGGTCATTGTATATACAAGACAACTAAATAAAAAGAAATCATAGCTTAATGGAAAAGGGAATTTAAGTCAGCTTCACTAAAATATGGTATATACGTTGGTAATAAAATCGAAGGAAATTTCGTGATTACACTGAACAAGAAACGAGAGGATATTTTGAACGAACCTTATCGTTGTCATTATCAAGGGCAAGAGAGACGACATCCGGGTGTTTGACGTTTGTGTCTTTTGCCACCATATGACTGGAAAATAGAAGCAACTCGTGAATGGTGTTGGTAAGGATATCTTTTTGTAAACAATGCTGTCAGTTAATGCAAAAAACTATAATTTCCTTTCCGTTAAGTTCCGTTAAAATAATACTGAGATTTGCAATTATGCAGATGATATACCATCTTTGCGTGTGGTTCAGATCTGGGTTCAATCTTAGAATAACTTCAAGGGGATGCCACTTTGTTCTTTCTTTGGTTTGAAGATAACCAATTAAAGATGAAAAAGGATAAAAGTCATTTGCTTGTTTTCGGGAATAAAGATGATTTTACCTAAAGCCAGGATAAAGTTATATGGCATCAATACTATCGGGTTTGTTCGTCAAAAATTATCGCAGACTCTGCCAAGAAAAATTAGTGTCCCAATCATTAGCGAATTTTAAAATAAATAAAGTCCATCAAAACTTTTGATTGAAGCTGTGATTTGTGTAAAAATTTTATTTGAAATTTAGGTTTTTGTAATTAGACTTTGTATTTATTTTGTATAGTCGGTTTTCATAAGCTGAACGCTATTGTTTCTGCCAACTTTAAATAATTGTTTATCATTATCATTATTATATTGTTATGTGATAAATCAAATAATTACATACGCCAAAAACGTGAAATGAAGAATATACAGGAAAAGGCGGACATGAACAATCCGGAGAGCTACCATGTTTTACTTGATGTCATATTTCTAGGAGAGAGTTCCCTGACCCTATGCGACCTGTGATTCGTTGATGCAGTCAAAAAACTCCTTGACATGTATGACACGAGGATAATCGGATTATCCGAACCGGATCCTTCACCTTCGCCCAGGAAAATACATATACATATATTACGCTCTATATCATATATACTATATATATATATACCATTTTCCATTTCATTAAATTACCTTGCATCAAGACCTGCCGCAACATCAACACCTAGAAAATGCGGCTTTGGCAAAGATGAAACGAAGTGCATGGTAGTTGGATGAAAGACCCTAAAAGGACAAGAATATTTTACGCATACAAGAAAGATGAAACTGTAAAGAACCGAAATAGACTCGTAACGAAATATTATAAATGCGTAGATAAACAGTATAATGACTTAACGATTGAATACCTGATAATGCCATCAGTGCAACCACAAAACAGGTATTTTTCATTGACGACAATCGAGTTGGCACCTGAAGACTGAACCAAATCACTAGGTAAATTTTACAATCGCAACGCAAAGTCGCCTAATTAGTTTCACACATCAGCACATGATAAATTTTTCTCCTGAATCTTTATAAAACATAACTTTTTGATTGCTACCCACAATCATTGCATGATAAGACGATTTAAATCGGTTAAATTCACACTACTGCATTGATTTTTATCAAAACTAGTTCATCTTTCCTTCTATCGGATGCTTCGTTTTCATTAAAAATTGCCCTATAACACGAAACGTAGATTATTTATGAATCTAAATCTGCCCACCAGTTGCAAAAATCCATTCGCAGTTTCTGGAAAAATATTTAACAGGAGAACAGCTACTTTGAAATAGAACATGCACCCTACACAGCCGGGTAATTCTATAAAAACACCAGGAATGACGTCACATCACGACATCAAAGTAGACCACTCACCCGAAGTTCAACCCATCGATCCAGAATACGCTTTTCGTTGAAGGAGCATAGCAAACCAGATTTGGTGACTGCGTACGTATTTGACGAATTATCCCCGATTCCACAAGCTACGTCACAAAAACAGTTGTTGCGAAGGTCTCCCAGAATACCAGATCTTCCAGCGACTGGAGTTGGTACATTTGACTTAATGGTGAGGAAGACAACAAAATCAAGTCTCGGATTTATGAGAATTTCGAGGAGCATAATGGAGGGATAAATTAATATTGTTAGTAGGGTCAGCTTCAGTAAATATTGGAAAGGAGCTCATGAGTGTAAGGAACCTTGGTAAGAAGAGACGAAGAATACAGCCAGCAAAACAGCAAAAAGCAACTGATCATGAATACCCTCAGCAAAATTATATTAACTTCCTTCCGTCCGACAGGAAATGTTTAATAGAGGTTATCAATTTGTGCGTTGCCTGTATGTTGCCTGTATTAAGAGTAGCGATTAGGACGAACAGTGGCTAGCTTCACTTAAATTTGATGATTTTACACAAAACTGCTGATACCTTTGGCTCAACTTCTGTGTCAAAGTACCAAAATTTCACGTGCCTGTTACCAACAGTGACAAAATGGCTCCCATTTTCGGCAAAAGAAACACTCCGAACCTGTAATTACAATAACACAAAATGCTACTGAATGATGTTTTAACAACAACATGAAAAATTCACGCCACTTATCCGTTCAAAACGAACATTACTCTGATGTTCTAAACTCATAAGAGTGTCAGACAAAAAGATGAAGTGTGTATTAAGTGTTTAGTTTTCCCAATGTCATTTTTTTCAAATTTTACCTACAAATTGCAATTATAATTTAATTTTGCGACATTTCAAAAATCAAAGATGGCTTTATATAAACACTGTAAAAATTTGCGAATAGAACCAATCTTGTCTTTTTCACATACTTTTTCTCTCAATCCTAAATCTTCACGGAATGGTTCTCATTTAACAACGTGTAAACAGCACTCTTTCAATGGGGTGCTCATATTGTCTCACGCCAATCTAACACCAAGTCGTCATCATGTTTTGTTTTTTCAATGTTTAAAGAATAATACATACAGCTCGTAGTTGAAAAAAAGTATCAGAAAATAATAAATTGTCCGCGATATATATGTATGACTGCATTTCGGATAAAGAAGACAGGACGGGCGTCTACAGACCCATTGCATGAGCTTTTCCTAAATGCCTCTGCCCTCATAAATAACAAACGTCCTACAAAAAGAGACGATGATTACCTTGCATCCTATCTTATTGCAAGCGACCTTGGACCCAGTCTAAAACAAATCGAGAGAAATTAGAAAATACAACAATCAAATCTGAGACCATAGTTTAGGATATCAACTTGAGATGCAATTCATCTACTTGTATTTTAAATGATCTGAACCCCTCTTTGATTCAGGCAATCTTCTATCGAAATACGATTTATATCAATTTGCGTAAAAATGATTTATTCATGTTACCACCGATAATGAGGGTTTCAGAATCCCTTTATCTAATAGAAACGGAGATAAAAACCGGTACAATTGAATTTAATTCCCGTAATTTCTATAATCAATTAAATATAAAAAGCAACTTTACCCTCCAGTTCCAGACATTAACCATCATGTCATGCTGATCTCCAATGGAAACCAGATACTTCAAGTTTGGTGAAAATGCCTGAATGAAAAAAACGTAATAAAATCCATAGAAAGCCGTCAGCTCAGTTTTCAACAAGATTTTCAACAAGCAAACAATGTACCTGTCGCTTATCAAACCAAATGCAGCGCAATGGATCAACATGTTAGGAAATTAGTTCCTCTTAACCAGAAAACAGCTACACTTCTGTTAAAGAGCAGTTTCATGTCAACTTTATCAAACTACTTCATTTCTACCATGAAATTAAAAAACAAAGGAACTGTTGTTCAAACACTGGAATTTTTGCTCAAAACGGCACTCAAATGGGTTAAGTGCTTAAGCTTAAAATGGTTATGGATTAAACGAGCGAAAGAAAACTGTTTCGAAAGTCCTCTAAGAGAGATGATGCTACACAAATTTACCAAAAAATAGCTGCGAAAAACGTACCACGCAATTAATGCTGAATTTGTGTCCATTCAGCTCAGCAACCTGATTAATCGTTTCTCCCAATTCCCAGACACGAACACGAGGATTGTGGCCGCTCTGAAGGATACATAGTCATTAAAACCTCACAATTAGGGAAACACAAGAACAGAGTTTAACTGCTTGATCAATCAGCTAGCATCAAAACAATTATAAAATTAACCATCAAACTGTTTTGTGTATAATTCAAATGCTCACAGCAAGAAAAACACAAGAAGATCTAGCATAAATATCTCTATGTTTTCATCAAGATCTTTTGCATTCGACGCCTGGTCACCGCTAGCGTTTTTAAGAAACGTCTAAGGAAGACACTTTTTTAGTCTCAGCGAACACTTTTGATTTAAATCACCCTATCTTTAAAGACCACAAAACTTGTCCGTTGAAATTTAGACAACGTATGTTCAGTAAGACCATATTTGCTCAAGCTCGTTTACAGGAAATATGGGAAAATACTAGCAACGGCTCTCTGCAGAAACTTTTCGTCTGAGGAAAAACTTTTTAATTGAAAGAAATGCTCGGATATTTCGGAGGTTGCATTGAAAGAAACGACTGTTTAGGATTAAATTCAAAATTTCCATTGGTAATGGGTCTTATAGCGTTTTACAATGTCACAGTTCTTTTTCTTTTTCAATATATATAATTAACAAATTTTACAAGCAGTTAGGACAGAAAAACAAATGAATAAATATGCATAAAGAGATAAAAACCTCTCCAGAAGCGAGATATTTTCCATCGCTTGAAAACGCTAATGCTGTCAAGGTTTTCCTACAAGATATGCAATTAACCATTCGACATTACAAAAGCTCTACATGATATGATCACAGACAAAGTGGCAAAAGGAAACAAGTTGATCCATCATTCTAGTATGTGTTGTAGAAGTCTTTCAAGCAATCAATCAATTGTTACGAAAAAAATCTTACTTTTCAGGGTTAAAAATGTATGGCTGTAAGTTTGCAACCTTTTTAAGGACAATTGTAATGGACAATTTAAGGGCAAAAAATCAATTGTAACGAAAGATGTCTTACTTTTCAGGATTAAAAATGTGAGACTGTGAGTTCGTCCGTGAATTAAACAAAACAATGACACATCTACAAAAAAACCAGTAATGTTTATATAAATAAAGGCAGAATATAAAGTCTAAAGAGCCAAATCACCTGAATGTTTTCTTCAATTAGGTAACCTTATGCTGAACTGATAATACCAACATATAAAGTCCAACAATAAGGAGAACAAAAGCTTATGCTTTGCTACTTTGAGATTAGGAAGTCATTTTAAGACTCCTGTACCTGATGGATAAAAGAGGTTGACTAAAAATTTAAAATTAGAAATGTTCTTTGACTTATTTGCTATTTGAAGTTGATCACTACAAATATTAAAACCCACTTTGTATAAAAATCCTCTCTTTTTATTTCAATGTATACATAAAAAAGAAACGGGAATAAAATATAAAATAGTAGCAGGAGGACAAAAACAAAACAGCAAATAGAAAATAAGGAAAATCAAGTTCATTCTCACCCAGCAGGATATGCAAGCATGCCATTGTAAGGATTGCATGTTAAACCATTGGTATTTGAAGAGGTCAAGCCAAGCACACGTTCCAGACTCACCTACAGCAAATAAATCATGAAAATCTTTGCTATGGATACAAGCTGAGGTTCACTTTATCCTTGATAGTAAGTTTATCAGTTCTTTGTTCATTTGTAGGATTCTTTTCGAGATTGGAATTTGCATTGAAAGAGCATTGAAGGATGTCAAAATGGAAGATGAAGAACAAACCACAAAAAGTCGAGAATGGGCAAAACCGCATTACTATGAGGATCATATGTGATTCTGTTCAATCATAGTCAATTGAAAAGCACTGGTCTGGAAAGCTGGCAAATATAAAAAAACTTGCTTGGGTAATTCTATGTCAGCAGCTAACTCTAAAGGTTTTTCAAGTAATGCATTTTTTAGATTTATTTACATCATGTTTCATGACATAAATCAGCCACTTTGAATTTACATTTCTTGATTATCTTCAATTTGAAAATGCTCTAGCTCCACAAATTCACCCAGATACGTTTTATGGAATGGGGAATCCAAAATGGCATCAAAACACCCCCTGTTCAACCGTTTTTGAGCTATTCACAAATCCATATGTTTTTACCATATCGCAAATAACTTGAAAAAAGATCGTGTGACAGGGTAGATATTTGGAGATGGTTTTACATACATCAAACTTTAATTGTTCCAAAGTTCGATTTAAGTTCTCTTTTTATGCTCTTATAGTAAAGGAACAAAGACAAGTACTTTTCCGGACCTCTTATATTAGCCTGCGTGCAAACTCTGTTGACAAAATTGAAAATAGGAGAAAAAGTAGAGTCTGGGAAGCTGAGCTGACTTTCTTGTTCACAGGTTCCTCAAAATCAAGGAACCAAATTTGAATGGTTGGAGGAATGAATAGGATCAGGATAATAGAATAGGTCTGTTTGTTCTTTTGAACAACTAAAATTACAGAAAAACATTGCACGCTAATGGAGTTGTTGTTCTAGTGCTTAGAATAAAATGGTGATGTCAGCAAACAAGAATAGCGGCTCTGTTGCGCAGACTCTACTTTATCTTTTCTTTTAAATTTCCGAGTCTGCACGCAGGCTACCTCATATTAGCTTCATGAGATACCAGATGTACAGTGTAAAGAAGTCATGGAAAATAAGAAAAGGTTAAAGAGCAATTAACACATCTTTCACTTAAAAGGACTTTGCTTGATAAAGTAATATTGGTTTCAGTTGAATTGTTTAAAAATAAAATGATATATGATAATGCAATGCTTCCGCTCAGATGAAAACAATTGATTTGTTTTCATTGAGAACAAAATGCAAACTTTTGAAAACATATGTGGCCTGAGAACTGTTCACATGATATGATGATACTGTATACAAATAAATACCACCCAACATCATAACTGAGGCCCAGGGGGGGGGGGTGGTGTTATGGAAGCTCAATCCCCAACCATCAATGCAGAAAGAAGCCAATTTAAATATTGCTACAACAGTTTTTGCCACGTTTTGTTTTAAGTGAGGCCTCAACTCTAAGTATATTTTATGTATCAACTTTAATAGATACACAAAAACTGCATGGGAAATAGTTTGTCCAAATTTTTTAGCCTGAAGCTGTTCATACAAATTATTTTCTGCCCAAAGGTTTTCAATTTAATCTAAAACAGCTATTGTTTAAAACAAATAAAAGAAAAAATATACCCAAATATGGAAGAGGGGGAATAGGGGGCTATAGCTCTTTTACCTTTAGCTAAAAATCTTAATGGACAAGAAAAGATTACTTCAATCCACATTTACAGTTTTGTCAAACAATCGAAAAAATCCAGTTTATGCATTCCATTTCATCATGTAAAGTAAACACCAAGAAAATTGGAAGAAATCCAAATCAGCTTTCACTTACACTAAAACTGTGCTGTAATGGCTCTGTTTAATCACCTTGTATAAGATCTTAGCCTGGGTTGCAGACGATATTCAGTGGGAGACTTTTTTAAAATGGTTTATAAAGAGCTTGGAGAAAGTCATTGTAGAAATTATAGAGTTGGAGGTTTTGTTGCATTTAGCCGCAGCAAAAAATATATTTTCTGTTACAATTTCTGTTTTTTCCAAAGTTCAAAAAAATATTTTGTGACAGTGACAATTTCTGGTTTTAACATCTGGTTTATAAATGCCATTTGCTTTCCATGTCTAGACTGTTATGTTTTAAAACTCTTAGCCAGCCCGACCTACTCATTCATTGTTTTGCATTAAATGCATACCTGTCCAGACCTGTACCAGTCATTTGCACTGGATGTAAACTGAAATGGCAAAACCGGTAACAAGCAAGCCAGATTTAAATTGTTAATGCAGTCTAGGGCTCTGATAGCTTAAGCTGACGTGGACCAGCAAACACCTAGAAATGTGTTTCCAAACTGGTACAAATAGCAGATCTACACTTGATTGGAAGTAGGTTTAGTGTGCCCATTTTAATACGGATCCATTTGGATCCATACCAGTGTAAACAGGCTTTTCTAAGTCCTTCCAACATTTTTCTCATCTTTGTTGTGTTTCTGGTTGACATGATTTCCATTGACATTGTTCCCAGGAGATCAGAGATATAATCCCTGGTCCCCTTAAATATGTTAGAAACATAAGAAAATATCCTTGTACCCACCCATTCCCAGAGGTGGGGCTAGATAGCAAGCCATGATGTGCCGACAACCTCAGAAAAATTCAAGTTCCGAAAACTGTAAAAATGGTTGCTGACATATTTCATGAACTCCTTCTCAGTTTCTTTAAATCCTTGAAATATTTGCGAAAATGAGTATCTGATACCTCTCAGAGTCCTAATAAATCATGAAGCTGGGTGATAGTTTTTGATAAAATCTTTTCTCATAAGAACAATATTATAATATAAATTGACACAGAAAATGAAATCATTAAACTGGATACCACTACAACATCAACACTGCACCCATGACCTTCAAATCTTCAATAAAATTCGAAACAACATGCTCAACATCTCATTTCCAGAAATTGTCCTTTCCTCAACCAGAAATCCGCTCAAATATCAAACAATTCAATGCCTCCACTCTGAAGCTTTCAAAAATTAATTCTTCGTAAGAACAGTTAGGATAAGGAATAGCCTACCATCAGAAATTATGATTTGCATGAGAGAAGACAAATTCAAAGTATCAGTGACAGAATGGTTGCGTCCACGTCAGTGGGTGAAGGTAGCCTCCACCAACACCTGGACCCTAGTATAGACTTATTAGATACAATTTTTACTCTTTTGTTAGCCTTTTGTTATACTTTGTTTATGATTAACACTGCTTGGATCTGTTGAACCAAAACCAAATGCAACATTTGTAGAAATCAACAAACTGAGGCGCCGGTGGAAATGGTATCAATCCTACTCCTGAGTTAATTTTCCTTTTTTTAATGCTCCTTGAGTAAATGCTCCAGATTGGTTGTAAAGTATTTAGGAGTTAACGATTGAAGATTGAAGATAAGAGCACAAGCCTCCAAATTGGTTAATTTTAATTTAGTCAAGTTGTTTAAGAGTTAAGAACAAATTAAAAACAAACTGAGGCTGAGGTACTTTAAAATTTAATTCTGAAAAAAGTTGTGAAACCTCCTAAAATAAATTTCCTCTCAAATACAAAGTTTTTCCCATCTAGGGGCCCTTTGATGCTGAATTTTCACTTATTTGCTTATGATTTATAAGAACAAATTTAGAACAATCCAGCCTCAAAGTTTCAATGGTTTTAATGGTTTTACTGAAAGTCAAAAGCTAGGTTGAACTTCAATTTAATGGTTCATAAGTAAATTTCTCATTCAACAGTTACTATGTGCCGACAATTATTTTTCGTTTTATATTGGGCTGCTGACAGGCTGTCATTTGCAACTTTTTTTGGGGGGGGGGGGCAGCTGCCCCCATGACATCCCATAGTGCCATTCCTTTCCTATATCATTAATAATAATTTCTTTGTAATTGCATTGAAATTTAATATGTTCATTGGTATGTTTTAGGATATTGTGATTAACTTGTTAATTCTGAGAAAAAGATTTGAGTTCGAGTTCCAGACTCCTATTAAACCTGTCTTCTTTCCGAAAAAAACAAACTTGACCCAACTTCTTTCTTCTTGGCCCCTCCTTCCTTTTCCGTGTTGGGACTTTACTATAGGCCCCTGGACCTCTCCCTGACATAACCAACGAAAAATACAAACTAAAGGAAAAAAAGAACTTTATATGAAGAGAGGTCCCTCACCTTATCTGAAAGACACCGGATGTCCTTAGCACTGGCGCTCTTCCTCACCAATTTTCTTGTTGGCGTCCCTCTTGGAGCAACAGTGGCTGGGAAAGACCTCCTCATTATTCCACCGCCAGTTTCAAAAATTGACTTTCCAAAAAGCAAAATAGAGAAAAACGAATTTACAATATAAGTCGATTAAAATATCAGGCAACACCTTTACGCCACAGCTAAACGCTTTCATGTCATAACGATTCCACCATATTCACACCTGACCCAACTTAATTGATATCCTAATCACTCCTTTGTTTCCCTCCGTCTGAAAATTTCGAGATGGATTAAGTAATTCTCCTCCCAAGAATTATCAGAATCGGCAACGCGCGAACACTATTTGTCTGTAAAATGCGTTTGTGAAAATAGGCCCATAAATCTGAGTGTCTTTTATTCTAAGCAATTACATTGTCTTTCAAAAGCTTTTTGTTTGTGGTAATTCACATGGAAATATTAAGTAAATTGGTCTACGATCTTCCTTCCAATCACATAGGCCACCTTGTTTTTGTCACTTCGTTCGTCCACGAGCAGAGCGTGGCTTGGAGACCATTTAAAAATGCTGGCAATTTCACCTGTCGTCTTATGTAAATTGACAATGGACTTCACATGGAGGGAGTGTGATCCTTGATCGCCCGTACCAATAACATATAATAATGATAGTGCAGCCCTGCCATTTGAAAAGGTAAATGTATTCCTTTTAGAGAATAATTTAAAATATACTACATATTCAAGGAAAATTCATTTTAAAGTATGTTCATGTTTGTCAACCTCTCTATCTTTACCAAAAATGATATTAATGAAAGATCTCAACCAGACAGATACATTAATTAAGTACCAAAAAATTCGGTGCCAAAAATTTCGGGGTAAAAATTTTCGGTCGAAACAATTTCGGTCATATTTTTTTAAGTTTTCGGTGGTAAGAAAATATTTCGGCGAGTAAAGAAAAGAAATACTTTCTGTAAGTTATTTCCTTCTTCAACATAAAATTATTTTGAACGCAATCATGAAAGTTACAAAAATTGAATATTTTGATGCCAGCCCAATAAATGAAACTGAAGTGTAGGTAAGAATGTCTACGAACTCTTATTTAGAACAGGGCAGGGCATATTTTAGTGTGTAGCATTACACACTTTGTGCAGTATAGATTTAAAAACGTGCAATATTGATTTCGAAAATGTGCAGTATTGAATTTTGAGATTTGTGAAAATATCTTTTTGCGGTTATCCCAGATTCCTGCTTTGTTCACAAAATGTGAATGGGGGGGACTGGGGGGACACGCCCCCCCCCAGTTCTATGCAGAATCGACTTTGTATTTCTTCTAAATTCGATGAGAAAATGTTGGGGGAGGGGTAATATTTTGACACCGTACTTTTTGTGATGTAATCCTATGATTTTCAAACTGCCAATTTTTAAACAAAAGTTAGTCATAGGCGTTCCCTTAGGATAAAATTGGCGTTCCCTGTTGGTAAAAGGACGTAGTGGCTGGCGCCAACATTGCCTATCATGCTCTGGGCATCTAGCAAAAGCTAACTTAACTTAACTAAAAGAAAGATAAAGGGCCTGATAAACTTTTTAGTTGTGCTGTCCAGACAAAACATGAGATACTGACTCCTTTTACAAGGGATAAATGACTATGTTTCTATTCAAGTTTTGTAGCTACTGTTTGTTTTGTTGCTGTTTTGAATTGTTATTGTTGATTATTTGTATTATCATCTGTCTGTTTTTTATTTCTGCGTCATGGCCCATACACGTTTTTAAAATTCGGGGCATTTCCTCGCTACGCTTGCATGGCTAAGAGCCTAAGACACCTGGGGTTCGCAAGGGTTTGCACTGATTGCCACAAAAAAATTCCCTGTGAAAAAAATATAATTATAAAAGTGCAGTATTGAAAATTTTTTAAAATAGGCACTGGAACAGGGTGGTCCTAAAAATTGAAAATCGGAGCTTCTGCAATCATCAATTAGGGGCAAGACTAGTAGGTACCCTGGCTTTTTACGACCCTATACTACCGACCAAGCTTTGTATATTATTCTACAGTTATTTATTCAGCGTCATTTCACACGGCTCGCATGCCTTCGCGCACGCAGTTCACTGCTGATAGTGTGCTTTTTTTCTTTACTTTCTTTTGAGTTGGTAAACATACAATACTAGCTATACTAAGCTAATTAAAACCAACTAAATATATTAACAATAACCGAATTTAACAACGCAACAATAAGATGCATCAATGTACAGTAGGTTCCCTGTTTTTTTTATATAGCCCACTTGTCCTATAAATGGCTTACAAATGCGGCATGAGCAAGAAATCGCAGACATAGTTTTGATGATAGTAAACAAGAAACACCGCAATAGTTTTGATACTTGCTTTAAAGGTTTTTATTTTTGAGCTCGAGGCTATTTCTGTGGGAATTGAGTTTCATACTTCTTGAAATCTATAGGATACAGTGTTTAATCCGTACGCTATAGTGTTTGGTTTATTTCTAGTTAAAGTGAGCCCTCTGAGGTTATAGGATGATTCAGTTATGCTAAAAGTATCTTCCATGAAACTTGGGTTTTCGTGATGAATAGTTTTGTAAATTTCTATTGCAAGTTGCTTTAAATTCCTTGTATGGATTGTAACGGTGTTTTCTTTGAGCAGTAGTCGTTTAAAACTAGATGAAAAATCGTTATAGCTATTCGCAATGCTGTTTCATGAATGTTATTAATAAATTAAATTTATTGTATTTCCTTCTACAATACATCCATACCAAGGAATAGTAATTGAAGAATGCCAAAACAAATGTTTTCATCAAACGTTTTCTTTTATCTTCGTTTAAATAAGGCGCTATTTTTGCTAGGGCATTTATCTTTTTCCCTGCTTCTTTACAAATACTTTTGATATGGCCATCAAATTTTAATTTGTTGTTTATTGTTAAGCCCAGCATTTTCACTTTGTCTTCGTCTTTTACTATTTACCTGTTTACATAAATGCTACATTTTCAACACTGTTTGGTTTTGCTGAAATCATCATAAGTTTGCATTTGTCTCCATTTAGCTGCATAGCATTGTCTATAAACCATTGGTTTATGATGTTGATTTCATGTTCTAGTTTAGCTGATATGTCTTTCTTGTCAGTACCTTCAATCCATATGGTATTATGATCAGCATAGTTTCATAGTTTGCTTTGATCTAGGTATATCATTAATGAAATGTCATTAACAAACATGTTGAAAAGAAGGGGACCAAGGACAGAGCCTTGGGGAACACCTGTTTTTATTTCTTTCAATTCGCAAAAGTTAGCATTAATTTTTACCCGTTAAAATCGCCCTTGTAGGTAGTCTTAGATTAATGATAATGCATCTCTACTAAGTCCATAAGCTTCCAATTTTGGAAGTAAGAGTTAATGTGGGAGACAATCAGGTCAGAGACAATCATAAAGACAGTGCTGTTCATAACCCGTCAGTGTGGCTGGGACGGGAGGCAAGGGGGGCAGACTGCCCCAGGGTCTCAAGATCTAGGGGGCCTCATAAAGTCATGAATTCTGTTTTAAAATGGAATTCATTTAAAGTAACAAAATCATGCCTGCAAAGAGTAAAACTTTTTAAACGGATGAACCAATTTAAGCTAATCCGATGGGCGTCGAATTGTTATACAACTAGTTTTGTCTGTCGTGTATCATGTTTGTGGTTCGTTATTGTTAATGAGAATGTCTTTCGATGTTTGCGTCAGTAATTTTGTTTGTCATCGTGCCATCTCTTTTTAGTTGTTATTAGTTCATTTGCCGTTAATTTGTGTCATTAGGGTTTTATGTGCGTCACTCGTGTTGTTAAAAGCGTATGTTCTTTGAGTGCAAGTCCAGTCGAGTCGAAGTTGTCGTTGAAAGAAGTCGTTATGCTGTAATCGTTGGTTGTTGCTAATTTATACTTTCACTATTGAAGAACCTTGGTTTAAAAAAAAAAAAACGTAGTTTTACATTGGTGACCACGACGTGACGAATTCGCAGAAAAAAATGGAAATGATTTCAACAGAACAATTCAGAGAAATTCTGTTGGATATTATAAAGACCGTTGTATCTCACATGGCCGAAAGGGTGAGGTTGGCAGAGGAGAATGGGAGAAATTTCTTCGTGAATCGAACTAATGTCTATCGTGCTGAAGATGGCCAGCCCATTTGCTATTGTTGTTTGCGCGTTGGTCACGTTGCCAAATATTGTAGGGACAGGAAATTTTCTTTAGCATCCCAGGAGAAGTGTGATCAAAATGAACCTGTGATTGTTGCCTCGGTAGCTGAAGAGCGACCTCGGGTTACCTTTATTGGCAACATCAAAAGAAATGAGCCACACTTTCAAGATCTTCAAACTCGAGTTAAGAAATTGGAGGAGATTGTCAATGAATTGGAGTCACATAAACTATCACGACCAATGGTGACGCGACTGCTTTCTTCAAAACCAATGGAAGTTGACGAGGGTTTATTAGCCACAACATATGAAAAAAATTTGATTGACACTAAAAGAAGAGAAGGACCTTTACGTGTACATAATGTTGTTATAGCCTCGGATAGAGAACCGTATGGACAGAATAATCTTGGACAGGGACATTATTTCTTAGATGGTACTTGATTTACTCATTTCAGTAAAATTATTTGATTTGATTCTTCGTGCTGCCTTATAATACTTTTATGTTTCTTCCCCTTCGAGAGATCAAGCCAGGAGGCTTGTCTTTCAAAGGGGGGAGTAATGTTATACAACTAGTTTTGTCTGTCGTGTATCATGTTTGTGGTTCGTTATTGTTAATGAGAATGTCTTTCGATGTTTGCGTCAGTAATTTTGTTTGTCATCGTGCCATCTCTTTTTAGTTGTTATTAGTTCATTTGCCGTTAATTTGTGTCATTAGGGTTTTATGTGCGTCACTCGTGTTGTTAAAAGCGTATGTTCTTTGAGTGCAAGTCCAGTCGAGTCGAAGTTGTCGTTGAAAGAAGTCGTTATGTTGTAATCGTTGGTTGCTGCTAATTTATGCATTCATTATTGAAGAATCTTGATTTAAAAAGCATTATTGCGAACTGGAGACTGGTTTTCGATCTTTATCTGCCCTGTAAAACTTATTAGTTTTACAGAATTTATCATTAGTCAAAATTGAACAATTTTACTCTTACCTTTTAGATATTAAAAAGGCTTAAGTCAAATTTAAGCTTTTTTAATCGTTACTTTTTAGTTTGATGTAACATTGTTTTTTCTGCCTTTCTTCCAAGTATCATGTTAGCAATGTCAGGGACGGCGTCACGAAATGGAACCTGGGGGAGGGGGGAGAGCTGAGAATCAAGTTTAGTGACATGGTTGGGTACGATGCAAAAGAAAAGTTTTGAAATTCAGCATTCTAGAATGGCTAAAAATGCATCTTCAAGATTAAAATTTAACAAATTTCTATACTGCTTAGAACAGACAATTTGACGATTCTCAGAAAGCATTGGTTATCTATTTTCAGGAAAAGTTTGTGAGGGGAGGAGTCATGCTAAAACGCTAATGACAAACGTCGGGGAAAATAAGAAAGAGCAACCTTTGGTTCAA